GTATGTTTTCAATGAAATAACACGAATTTTACAAATATATTAATATCAATGTCAATTGTTTTTAGAGGTTTATTCAGCAAACAATAGAAAAATATATTGAAGTTCAACTACAGATTTCTCAAGAAATATAATGTATTTATTTCACCAAGATTTACATGTCATTTAAATTATTTATATGAATTATACAAGTATCTACCGAAATAGATGAAGAATAAACAATATATTAAACAAATATGTATATTGACTTAAAAAAAGAATTGCCCCTTTAGTATTAGAATTTATTCAAAATGTGTTTCAAAAAAAATCTAATTTGTACATTTTTAAAAACATTACTAATAAAAGGATACAAATATACGTAAATATTAATTAAAATATATTATTAACGGACTGTAGATGATAATATTTTGACCATTTTTTTCTCTCAAATGACTCGCGACCGATGAGTCACCCTTAACACCAACAATTTGTTTCTCTTTAACAACAGAGCGCGTCAAAATTTTCCGGCTTAAGACTTTCTGTATCGTATTTGGAATTAATCAACTTTGTCGGAGCGCGTGAAAATGCTGATACGGCAGTACAAGATGATGTTCGTTTAGGAGAAGATCTTTAAATGACAATATAATTCGAATGAGTCAGCGATAAAATATTTTTTCTCAGATGTTTACTTCCGCTTAAAGATGCATTTACGCCCGAACCGAACATGACGTTCTTGACAAAAATGACGCCATTAGTTAGTTGATTTGGAGATTTACACATTTATTTATCTGTTCATTCATTCATTCATTCATTCATTCATTCATTCATTCATTCAATTTATTTATTTAATATTCATTCATTCATTCATTCATTCATTATTTTTATTTATTTATTTATTTATTTATTTATTTATTTATTTATTTATTTATTTATTTATTAATTTATTTATTTATTTATTTATTCATTCATTCATTTCATTTATTCATTTATTTATTTATTTATTTATTTATTTATTTATTGATTAACCTGTTTTTATCTTTTATTTTTGAATAAACTTTATAACTTCTAGAAAATACCAAATAAATGATATCGGTTGTTTAATGTTATTATTTGTTTTTCCTCTAAGGTATATTTGAAGACTGATAAAAAATAAATTGATAAAATGCAATAAATGTCTTGTACCCAGAGGGTATAAATATTTTTATGTGTTACAATTGCGTTATAAAAAACTACACTTCTCTAAAAAAGTTTCTTTATCTAATTATTTAACTACTTTCTTTTTTTATATATAATTATATGTAATGAAATGTTTTCGTTCAAAGCTTACAAACAATTTGTACAACAAAACGAAAGAATGATCATTTAATTACAGTTGTTTCTATAGGTACCAAATTTGTTAAATTAAAAAAGAAAAAAAGGACAATGTCGGTAACATTTTTATTCATGATGTAAAACATGTGGCGAGAAACTTTTTGGAAAGAAGTATATTAACTACAATACGGCACCCTCTATAAAAGAAAAGTTAATTAATTCAATTAACGACTGAGTAACTAAACTAATGTCTTAAACAAGTGAAACATTTATAGTATTGTAACAATAAGAAATATCCAAGATACCGTGAAATAACGTTGTATACTTACTATACGGATAACTTCAACTATAACGGACATTTTCGCGTATTAGTACTGTCAGTAAAATATGAGTAGAGGAACGTTATAAAATAACAGCAAAAATATTGAAATATTGATGGAATAGAAAGTGACTAATTCTATATATACTAGAAAGTGGCTAAAATAAATTGCATTAAAAGTGCCTAATTTTAAATATAGAACCCCTAGTAGGAAAAGGCTAAAATAGACTTACTTGAATGTGCCTAAACATATGGACAGAAGAGAGTGGCTAATTTAATAGAAAATGCCATTAACTTAGTTTAGTTTTTTTCGGAAAGTGGCTATATTTAATAGAAAGTTTCATCATATTAACATAGTTGGGAGTGCCGAAATGTAAACACTGTAGAAATTATCTTAATATAACAAAGGTGTCGTACTATACATTAAATTTAAAGTGTTTTAATATAAATACACTAGATATTGGCTTATTTAATTAATATAAGAATAATAGGCTAAACATGATAGAATGTGTCTAAATGCCATTACGGATGCAGCACGTGTCTAAATTAAATCAAGTGTTTTTCATAAATTAGAGATTATCAAATAATTGTTTTACCATGCCTATACAACCTATAAATGTACTGTTCATATTATTACAATTAACTTTAATGTTTGTGTTTCTATGGAGTTTCACTTCTTATACAGAAGTGCATGTAACAGCGCCGACTGTAACGTCTTACGAAAACGAATTTGAAAGAGAAAATGACGCTTTGAGGACGGAAAGGGAGACAGGTACATGAATACGTTGTGTGTTGTTGAGGGTGGGGAAGCGGTTGAGGGTGGAAGAAATACGGTGATGCTTATTTAACAAAAGACATTGTTCGCACATTCAGAATAGTTCTATTTTCAGATGTGAAATTTTTGATATCTAAACTATACATACTATCTATACTTCTCATCACTTTTTCACAATTTCCCATTTTTATACAACCAGTCTAAATTGTGTGGTTCTTTTAATTTGTTTTGCAAACTCGTACTTTTAATTTGTTTCGCAAACTCGTAAAAAATAAGAATATTAACTGTTTTGAATATTCATCCAGTGTCACGCTTTCATACGCTGATTAACGTCCAGAAATCTTACTTTAACTCATGTCGGTATTTGCAGAGATTTTTGGTCATCAAAATCTAATAACAATTTAAGTTGCCTTAAAAATACATGCAATAATTCTATACTTCGTTTTATATCAAAATTCCAAGTTATATCATAATTACTTAAATAAAAGGATAAATGTGATCAGTCTAGCATATCAAAGGCAAAAGGTGGCCAGTCTAGCATATCAAAAGCAAAAGGTGGCCAGTCTAGCATATCAAAAGCAAAAGGTGGCCAGTCTAGCATATCAAAAGCAAAAGGTGGCCAGTCTAGCATATCAAAGGCTAAAAGTTGTCAGTGTAGCATAACAAAGGCTAAATGTGGTCAATGTAGCATATCAAAGACTAAAGGTGGTCAATGTAGCATAACAAGGGCTAAAGGCTGTCAATGTAGCATATCAAAGGCTAAATGTTGTCAATGTAGCATATCAATCCATGTAGCATATCAAAGGCTAAAGGTTGTCAATGTAGCATATCAAAGGCTAAAAGTTGTCAATGTAGCATATCAAAGGCTAAAAGTTGTCAATGTAGCATATCAAAGGCTAAAGGTGATCATTGTAGCATAACAAAGGCTAAATGTGGTCAATGTAGCATAACAAGGGCTAAAGGTGGTCAATGTAGCATAACAAGGGCTAAAGGCTGTCAATGTAGCATATCAAAGGCTAAATGTTGTCAATGTAGCATATCAATCCATGTAGCATATCAAAGGCTAAAGGTTGTCAATGTAGCATAACAAGGGCTAAAGGCTGTCAATGTAGCATATCAAAGGCTAAATGTTGTCAATGTAGCATATCAATCCATGTAGCATATCAAAGGCTAAAGGTTGTCAATGTAGCATATCAAGGACTAAAGGTTGTCAATGTAGCATATCAAAGGCTAAAGGTTGTCAATGTAGCATATCAATCCATGTAGCATATCAAAGGCTAAAGGTTGTCAATGTAGCATATCAAGGACTAAAGGTTGTCAATGTAGCATATCAAAGGCTAAAGGTTGTCAATGTAGCATATCAAAGGCTAAAGGTGATCATTGTAGCATAACAAAGGCTGAAGGCCGTCAATGTAGCATATCAAAGGCTAAATGTTGTCAATGTAGCATATCAATCAATGTAGCATATCAAAGGCTAAAGGTTGTCAATGTAGCATATCAAAGGCTTAAGGTTGTCAATGTAGCATATCAAAGGCTAAATGTGGTCAGTCTTACATACCAAAGGCTAAAGGAGGTCAATGTAGCAGATCAAAGGCTAAAGGTGGTTTATGTAGCATATCAAAAACTTAAGGTGGTCAAGGTAGCACATCAAAGGATAAAGGGTGTCATTCTAGCACAATAAGACTTAAGGTGGTCCAGACTAGCACATTAAAAACTAAAGCAGTCCAGTTTAACATGTCAAATGCTTAAGGTGGTTAGTATTACACATCAAAGTCATTCAGTATCTGGATTTATGATTTAAGCTTGATAGAAATTATGAAACTTTATAAAATACTTAAATTCCATTTCTAGTTTTTCTAAAACTTTCTTTATTTCGTTCCTCAGAGATTCAAAGGGTACAGCAAAAGAAGCAAGGCTAAATGTGGTCAATGTAGCATATCAAAGACTAAAGGTGGTCAATGTAGCATAACAAGGGCTAAAGGCTGTCAATGTAGCATATCAAAGGCTAAATGTTGTCAATGTAGCATATCAAGGACTAAAGGTTGTCAATGTAGCATATCAAAGGCTAAAGGTTGTCAATGTAGCATATCAAAGGCTAAAGGTGATCATTGTAGCATAACAAAGGCTAAAGGCCGTCAATGTAGCATATCAAAGGCTAAATGTTGTCAATGTAGCATATCAATCAATGTAGCATATCAAAGGCTAAAGGTTGTCAATGTAGCATATCAAAGGCTTAAGGTTGTCAATGTAGCATATCAAAGGCTAAATGTGGTCAGTCTTACATACCAAAGGCTAAAGGAGGTCAATGTAGCAGATCAAAGGCTAAAGGTGGTTTATGTAGCATATCGCATATCAAAAACTTAAGGTGGTCAAGGTAGCACATCAAAGGATAAAGGGTGTCATTCTAGCACAATAAGACTTAAGGTGGTCCAGACTAGCACATTAAAAACTAAAGCAGTCCAGTTTAACATGTCAAATGCTTAAGGTGGTTAGTATTACACATCAAAGTCATTCAGTATCTGGATTTATGATTTAAGCTTGATAGAAATTATGAAACTTTATAAAATACTTAAATTCCATTTCTAGTTTTTCTAAAACTTTCTTTATTTCGTTCCTCAGAGATTCAAAGGGTACAGCAAAAGAAGCAAGAAAAGGAGAAAAGGATCACTAGAAAAAGACAAACTGCTAGAAATGCGAAGAATTTGCCATTTTTGGAAATAACAGAAAACACGCCAAAAGACATTACTGATATAATGGGACTAGTATGTATGCGTTCTGTTGATAATTAAAATCGTTTTTTTTTTGGTTGTCGTAAGTGTGTCTATAAGCTTATAGTTTCCTACACAATCGAACTAAAATAAATTCTGTATAAACCAAATATTTATGGTTAAAAGTCTTCCTTACATATGTAACATTTATAATTTTTCATCCTAACATGTTTATTTCTTTAATTATTTCCAAAATAAATTTGGGCAATATGACAAGGAGTAGACATTACATCTTTATCGGCATGTATACTACAATCTATTCTAATATTATTCTATACTTTTTGAAAATGAATTGTTGTATCTTAAAATTGCATCAATTTCTTCTACTATTAACATGACTCGTAAGAATTGACAATAAGTTAATAATGTTCTTTCCTTGATATATCGGGGGAAAGAAAATAACTAAAACCTTGCTTACAATCATTTTTATCGTTTATATATTAAGAGTTTTTGTTTTAGCCACCATTAAAGTTTGATAAGCGGTACAAGAACCCTTGTTTCAAAGGTGGTAAATCAAACACATCGAACCCAATGTTTAAAGATGGAGAACTACACTGTCTTCCTTACTTTTATATATTAGGTAAGTTACTATCCTATCACATCAAATGATTGATATTCATTAAACGATCTGGCCTAACATAACTTTAAGAAGATATGGAACAAATTGATATATATATAAAATTTGATAGAGAGATTTTCATTTTGTTTTGTCTTTGTACATCGTTTTACATAATATATATTTTCCTAAGTAGAAATCTTATTCGTCACTCTCATAAGAAGGAATAAGTATTATTATGTTTGTTGAAACTCATTGAGAAATAAACTTTACTAAGAAGTCCGAAGCATTCAGAATATGTATGGACGCATCCATCTTTGTATTAGGAAGTTTTACTTTGAGTTTAAAGGTAAACAAAGCAACATCTAGCAGACGAAAGAAAACAGTTATTTATGATTATAGAACGAACTAAGTAAAGTTTAGTAAGAAAACTGCATACTTGCAACTCTGATATAAATGCCATTCGCCTTTGTTTAATTATTTCTTACTTTTCTGTTTTTTCATAGTGATAATTTGCATAGCATAGTGTACTGTAGTCTATTTCAAGGTTAAATTGTCCAGTCAGTTATAGGCAATTTCAATAGTATAAGGAAGGCGAGCGTTAGAGACCGACCATAGGTTTTAATTGTGCAATTTCACACTTTTCATGTATCAGTTACGACAATTAATCTATCGCACATCGGCATTATGTCGTCTGATAATAGGCATATAAGGAAACTAAAAATGAATGATGATATATTATTTGTCAGATGAATTCTTAACAGTATACCAGCTTGCGATTCCTCCACCAATGTTTATCTTATTTTCGTAACTGCCATCGTCACTGAGAGAAAATTATATGACAAACTGTTATCATTGGAGGACATATTTTGTCATTTTTTATTCATCTATTTGTTTATTTTTGAAAAACTGCTACTTTCTCCTGGCTTTCATTAAACGTTTAAGATAAAGACGCACTTGTAACGGAATCTTAGCATTTACATGCATATATATTTAGGTGTTAAAAAAAGTGGCACGTCTGACCTATATACTAGACTTATGGCACACAGAGAGTTCCAGGTACCGAGATACAAAGAAAGTCAATGGTTTCCTAGGATACGATTTGGCGGAAGTAACAAAAAAGGTAAGACAAACTTTAAAAGAATTAAAGATATACATGTATAGAAATAAAATCCAAGACGAAATGGCTACGGCGGTGTAAGGTTTTATAATAGTTTCTTGCATATCAGACTGACGTTTCCTTGAGTCTTACCCATGCCGGAAATTTCATCTGGCATTGGGGTGCCAGATGAGTCGCGTGCTGTAAAATGGCACGCTTCTAAAGGATGACGTCATTTAACCGCTCTGAATGAAGTTGTAATCATACGCTGTTGTAACAAAGTAGTTAGGGTTGTAATTTTATAAATTGTCTTTGAAATTAAAGATAAAGAATTTAAAATATATTGGAATATGGTAGAATATGCAAGAAAAAATAGCTGACATATGTTTGCGTTTGCAAGCCTCGTTACCCCCAATGGGCGGGTCACCGCGGGGTGGATATTTAGATGCGAACCGCAAAATATGACAGATATTATTAATAAACTGTAATAAAGTGTAATTAATAATGATCGGTTTTATAATAGTATAAAGATCAGTATAAAATAGAGAAAAACGGACTCCCTACAGAACGCTCAAAACGACAATGTTGAAAATGTTATGTACAGTCTCAGATTGAGCCTGTTCATGGACGGAACTGGAAAGTATAAATCACAGTCGTCACTGACACGTGTGTATAAATCACATATCAACATTTTGTTAGTTAGTTGTTGTGTTTCCTTGCAAAATTTTCCTGAAACATACAGAGCATTGACATTCCGGTAGTTCAGCTGGGTGGTTTAATTACATGAAATAATTTGAAGCCGCTTGAACATTTTTAAAACAAAAACTCCACAGATATACTTCAAACGACTTAAATATACAAGCATCAAAGGAAATATTTTAAACTGAAAATGTAAAAATGCGATATAATTAAACGTTTATGCATACATAAAAAATATGTTAAATCATATGCTAATTCTTGAATTCAATTATAAATAACATAAACATTTCAGTGCGAACAACTGTCGACAACCGTAGTGTAAAGTTCTACATCTCAATGTTTGACAAAGCTGTTGAAAGAATACAGAAATGTCCATCAAAACATAATGGAAATAGAAACAAAAATCCTTGTATCACAGGTAAAATAGAAATTTGAATTTTATGATCACAGGTAAAATAGAAGTTTGTTTTTTATGAACACAGGTAAAATAGAAGTTTGTATGAAATCATGTCAATTTTTCATTAACATTAGGCCTAAAGCTATTTAGATCATTTATTGAACGCGTGTTCATTATCAATGAAGAAAATCAGAACATTTATATAATTTCATTGACAAATTCTAAAATGTGTTGTCTATGAACTTCCCATCTTTTTGCTATCCGGAAAAAGTTAGAGCCAGATACATGTCATGTGCCTTAATTCATAATCAGAATAAAAACACTCAGAGGAGATATATTGTACTTATGTTGTTATTTTACATTAATTTAATTGTATTAGATTTAGAGTACGATATGCATTTGATATCATCTGAAATATTTTGGACTCTGAACATGAAAACGAGGCTATATCTGGTCTGATCAGATAAAGCCTCGTTTTCATGTCCAGAGTCCAAAATATTTCCCAGATCGGGTACAACATGCATTTGATATGTCAGCATCAGTGCTTCTGTGCATTCAATGTATTAATTTAAAATATCGAAATAAATCATGCATACGTTTGTCATTGATAAATGTTTTATATCAAAAGTTTTATTTTGTCTGTCAGCTGATGCTACACCAGCGAATTTTCACATGCACACCGGTTGGGACTTGTTGCCAGGCAACGAGGGGTTGACAGAACCGCGTTATACCAATTTTCACTATATTAAACATCTAACTCCAGATGCGAAAATAATTGTTATATTCAGAGATCCTGTCACAAGGTTTGATTTTTTTTCCCGTACATTGCCCATACCAGTTAAATACTTATAACAGTCAAATTAATGAAAGACAGGTAAATTTACACCGTTTTTATCGTTTATAACTTAATGAAGTAACTTAAATATATCTAAAAAATAATTGCACATTTGCATTTACGTGTATTTTTCTATCATTCGTAATTTGCTATAAGTATGTTTTTACTTAATTGCAATAAACGTTTGAATTGAATTAACTGCGTCGCGTGGCAGCTCTAAAAAAAACTCAAGCTCCGATCACACTCAACCAGGTATGTTGTAGTTTAGACTGTGAAAATAGTCCCATTGTTATATTTTTCTGGTCCGTTTTCTGGGGCTATTGATTCCAATACTCTTGCGACGAGTGTAAAGGCCTCAACAGACGGTAGGATTTAGCTGTACAGCACTAATTAGAGATAAGATGTACAATTTTCAAAGCTATACAACACTTGCATTCAGACGGTAATTCTACACTGTAAGAATCATCTGAGGTTTCACTAAAAAGGATCCCTTTACATTGATCCTTTACATACTTTACTCACTAAATACTTTTTTCGCCATGAGTAATGATTGAAAAACCTCCATTTAAAAAAAAAATATATATATATTTTTTTTTAATGTGAAGCCTGACCGAGACTCAAACCTAGGACCCTCGGAATACCGTACTGCGGCTCTGCTGTCTAGGCTATCTGGTCGCCTACAAACTACTTCCCCTCCCCTTATTAGAGAACAATTCAATACCGTGACATAATCATTTTCGGAATAATTTGGGATTCGAACATAACACAACTTTGGATCTCCTGAAGAGTTTTTCAACTACTATGTTTACATTTTAGCCCTAATTGTTCTGGAATTTCATTCATTACACCCATTATCAGGAGATAATTTGGTTATCTGTTACTTGTCATTGTGGGAGGTCTATAAAAATCGGTACGACAAGATTTTCAAAATAGAACATGTCCTATCCCTTACATCTTGACATAAGGTTTCGGAAATTAAGAAATAATACCCTTCACACATTAAGATTTGTCTGTACATCTTAGTTTTAAGTATGGGTAAGAGTTCGTATTAAGAAGACCGTAGGGAGTCTTATCGAACTCTTACCCATATAACTGCAAATCGGCTCTTACAGCTCGATATCAGATAAAAATATAGAAAGTGTCACCTCTTTAATTAAGCATAACATTATTTTTCCCCAGCAGTCACGTACAAACAAGGATGGGGTCCAATTACTTAATCTGGCATGTAAAACAATGAGTTTTCAACAATATCAAGGTTTGTTAATGCAATTCATTCCTGTCATATGAAACAAAATAATGTTTTGCTTACTTTTTCTAGAAAATATAAAACAGTCAGCAATTAATAATTGACATTTTTCATAGAGTTTAAAGGATATCAAAATGTATACTGTGTTCACATTTGTCTCTGCGAGCTGAGCTCCACGTGCATTATCTATGTAATAAATTTGAATGTATCCTCACATTGCTACAGTGTTATCAGCCTATTTAGAAACACCTGACCTGGCTAATTAAAATACATGTACGCCAATCACAATTTTCAATATCAGCACATGTTTCTTCATGAAATAGCGGCTACACTAATTACTGCCGAGTAAGAGCCGATTTGCAGTTATTTGGTGTTGTACTTCAAAATCCTACCGTCTGTTGAGGCCTTTAAACGCTGATAAAGTCAGTGGTATATAGTGAGCATGAGAGTTTTCTGTTATCTTTCACGAGCACATTAAACGGTTTAATTCAAACTGAGTTTGCAATACTTTTTAACTTGGTTTTCATTGCTTTGAGGGATCTCCTTTGTTCCAGATTGTTGTTACTGACTGTTGATTTTTGGTACTTTAAGTTTCCTTTATTTACAACCTTTTGTAGAAGATGGTAAAATCGAAAAAAAAAAATATAAAAAAACAAACAAGCAAACAAAAAACAAAACAAAAACCCAAAAAACAAAAACCCCCCAAAAAAACAAAAAACAAACAAGTTACTATTTAACGATACGAATAACAAACCTGTCAATGACCTATAATTAAAACAATAACAATGCTATGATGTTGTTATATATTAAGCTTTATGTATATCGCACTTATATCTCAGCGAGTTTTTTTTTTTTTTTTTTTTTTTTTTGGCGGTTGTTTAATTATTCGATATTGAACAAGTATTACCTTACACCAAATGTAATGTTACAATATTGCCAGAAGGCAGGTAGTAAAAACTATGCTATAGTCAAGGACCATCAACCTAACACTTTTTCTCTTAACTTCATCATAGTAAATGTTGGGCTATAGATAATGTATGTTTCTGTCAACAAAATGTAAAAATACGCCACTGAGAAATTACATTTTCTTGTATTTTTTATGAGTTTTGGAACTTGAGTGAAATGAAACGAAATTTAAGAGTTTGTTACCCATCTCTTCCCATTACTGTCAATCTATGATATATCTGTAAATACATGTAAAGAATGTTTATGTGATAAATGTATCTTCTGTTTCCAGACTTTTCTCTGATTTTATACATGAGACACGAGACCGTGATTTATATACAAATCTACAACTTCAAAAAAAGTTCGATTCTCAATCTAGAACTATAATCAAAGCATACAAAACATGTTTCAAAATGTTTACAATGAGAAGATGTATTTATAATCAGACCATTTTAAGCCACATACCAAAGGTAATTGCACAGAAATCACCTAAAATACTTATTAATAATATTCTAATATCTATACAGTATTCATGAAGACAGTTTAAATATGTAAATATCTATACAGTTTTCATGTAGAACATTTATGAATACGTAAATATCTATACAGTATTCATGTAGAACATTTAAACATGTAAATATCTATACAGTTTTCATGTAGAACATTAAAGTATTCATGTAGAATATTTATGAATATGTATTATCTATACAGTTATTATGTAGAATATGAATGATTACGTAATATCTACACAGTATTCATGTAGAACATTTAAATATGTTAATATCTATACAGTTTATTAAACATATAGCAGTACATTTCACTCACGATGCCCATTTTTACTTCAGAATGAGAGGTCAATGCTCGGGAAAAGTTTCTCGGCTGGGTTTTACGCTTTCTTTATGAAGGAGATATTTTCTGTCTTCCGTAGAAATCAAGTAATGACAGTTAACATGAACGCTTACATCACTTACAAAGAGAGAACCCTACAACAAATATTCAAGTTTCTTAAAATGAGTAAGTACGCAAGTTATACTCGATGAATGTACCCTATACATTCGTTTTCTTAGTAATGGGTTAATATAGATGTACACGTATATCTTGTGTATATGACCAAAATGAATGGCTTCAACACACACGATTGTTTATTTGACTTTAAACACAAAAATGTTTTAATATCTCATTTTAATCATCCGTTTTTGCTTTAACCTATATGTTTTGAGATTGATATTGTTACTGTGTGTATACCACATTTTTTAAAAAATTATATAATTATGTATATAATTATGCAAAAAAAACAAAAACAATTGTAAAACATCGAAGAATATGTAAATTGTGAACTGCAAATATTTGTGCACATTATATTTAATCAATAGATTACAAGCATTTACTTCTTATTGGAAAATTTGACTTAGAATTTATAGAAAGTAAATTTCTAATTACCTCCCTTTATTTACATGAAATGATAAATTGGGTAATTAAATATTTTTATAGATAATGCTTATTGAAACTTACAATATTGACAAATCATAATTCCAGCATTATATTAATGAAATAAAACCATGAAAATATTGTGCTACAGGATCTTAAACCTAATATGTTTACATTTTTAAAAGCCTCCATTCTACGAATAAATTATACATCTGGTTTCACTTGAATGTGGCAGGTCGCTGTTGCATGTCCCGGCATCATCATATTAAATGTTACATGAAGTTACCTCATTTAGTGTGCAACTTTAAGTAGATATTTAATAAATAAAGGTTTAAAATTCTGGAAACAAAGTGATCCCTCGGAAGCATTGATCACAACAAAATAACATAAGAATTGCAGACTCGGTTTGATTGAGTCTGTACATGAGTGATAATGAATAAGTGCAACATCACTCACGCCCCCTAGCACCGGCTTGAGCGGTACTCAATTCTCAACACTTTACAGTGTTGGCATCAATGATCCCGAAGGACCAGAAAATATAACAACACTGAAGTGAAGTACGGGGCAACTTTTTACGGCTGCCACACGGCACTTGACACCTGCTGTTGTGAAGTACAAAATTCTGGAAACAAAGTGATCCCTCGGAAGCATTGATCACAACAAAATAACATAAGAATTGCAGACTCGGTTTGATTGAGTCTGTACATGAGTAATAATGAATAAGTGCAACATCACTCACGCCCCCTAGCACCGGCTTGAGCGGTACTCAATTCTCAACACTTTATAGTGTTGGCATCAATGATCCCGAAGGACCAGAAAATATAACAACACTGAAGTGAAGTACGGGGCAACTTTTTACGGCTGCCACACGGCACTTGACACCCGCTGTTGTGAAGTTCAAAATTCTGGAAACAAAGTGATCCCTCGGAAGCATTGATCACAACAAAATAACATAAGAATTGCAGACTCGGTTTGATTGAGTCTGTACATGAGTGATAATGAATAAGTGCAACATCACTCACGCCCCCTAGCACCGGCTTGAGCGGTACTCAATTCTCAACACTTTATAGTGTTGGCATCAATGATCCCGAAGGACCAGAAAATATAACAACACTGAAGTGAAGTACGGGGCAACTTTTTACGGCTGCCACACGGCACTTGACACCTGCTGTTGTGAAGTACAAAATTCTGGAAACAAAGTGATCCCTCGGAAGCATTGATCACAACAAAATAACATAAGAATTGCAGACTCGGTTTGATTGAGTCTGTACATGAGTGATAATGAATAAGTGCAACATCACTCACGCCCCCTAAAACCATGCATTAATCTAATTTTGTTCCACAACCAATTTAATATAGTTTTTGCTTACTTGCAGGTCCTTTATCCTCAATTGATATGACAAACATTGCTGCCATACAACCAGTGCATCAATCCAGCCGAGACATCACAATGTTGAAAACAACAAAAGATATGCTGTACCGGTTTTATAAACCGTATAATAAACAATTAGCGACGCTTCTACAAGATAATTCTTATCTATTTAAACAACCTTCATCTTAAATAACCTTCATCTTAATCAGTCATTATGAGCAGCAGCTTCGACAGTGTATCATTGTTGTTGTTGTCATTAACATCATTATTGTTATCACCAACATTATCATCACAATTTATAGCTTCATCATCAACAACAACATAAGAACAATTCTTGCGTTGTTTATGCTAAAACTTTATTAAATACAGGCGATGATTATGTATACTTTTCGGTTGTACGAATGCATACGCATGTTCTTTCATAACTTTTTTAATATTTCATTTCTGTAAAGATCTAGTGAGGAGCCAATACATGGAACCCAAGTGAATGTCTTATGTTTTATAATACGCGGTTTCACTTCCTGCAAAAATACCGACCAAGAAAAACAAATATGATTGTGTAATATTTCTGTGTTTGGCAATAAAGCCTTTCATGAATACAAAATTGAGACAATCTGATTTAATATGAACAGAATAATTCCAACTTTTAGTTAAATTGAATGGTCTGTGGCTCTTCAACAGGTACTCGTAAGTGAAATGATGCACGAAAGATAATGCATCTATTCAGTAAAGTTGGAAAATCGTCATATGATTTTCATTATGTCGCTGTGACTTAGAATCCATCAAAGACAGATATGACTTCTAGCCTATAAGCTAGTAATTGTTGACCTAAGCCAGTGACCTCGTTTTAAAAACAAGACGGTGTAGGTAACGTTATTGTGTAATCGTAATCGATTGCAGTTAATTATAATTTGTCCATGTAATCGAATGTATTCAATGACTTTTGAAACGTCGATTACAATCAATAATAATTGTAAGCATTTCATGCGCGAAAAATGATGTAATCGTCATTACTTTTGCATAAAAAACTTCAATTATGGAACTGTCGTGGTTGTGCAACTATGATATTTCATATATAAAAATACTGCAAAGTGCACTAGGTTTAATATTTTAAACTAGTTTAAAATTGAACAATTCAATTAAATGTGAAATCTATTTAATTGAAAAATTTACTTTTTTTAACTTTCATTTGAAACCGAGTCTTTAATTTTACAGTTCGTCTAACACGACCCGTCAGTTAATTACGTCCCTTAAATATTTTCACCTTTTTTATCAATAACATCTGAGGCTTAAACAAGTATTTATGAAATCAATACCTAAAATTGTACAATAATACCTAGTATGTTGTCCCCTTACTAAATATAATTGGTATAATTACTAAATAGAAGAAGTGTAAAACCATGCAGTTCATGATTGATGTGACTTGACTTAGTCATCACTTAAAGTTCGGTGTATGTCCGTCCCACCGTGTGTCTTGCTGATTCTATATAAGATTACGAAATAATTTGATACAGATGCTCACCATGATACTAGATGTAATGTCACACGAAAAACCCAGGTTCGCCGCCCAAAGGTCACTGTCACAAGAGGTCAAATGAAAAATATTAAAATGTTTGTTGACGCTGTATCTTGTTTATGCTTTGAAGTATAATGCTTAGTGGTGAGAGATTTTTTTTTAATTTTTTGAACTCGCTTGTGCAGTTGTGGCGAGGTCGACTTAGTCGCCACTTTTCACTTTTGACGGTTTGGTGTATACGCGTCCGTAAGTCCGTCTAGATTTGTCAGGTTTATATCTTGCTTACTCTTTGAAAGATTACAAAATAGTTTGACACAAACCGAACGATGTGTCACACGCTAAACCCAGGTCCGCCGCTCAAAAGTCAAGGTCAAACTTGGCGGGTCGTCGCAAAACCCGAATCTGGAACATAACTTCTACATGCGTGGCGGGATTTTAATATAACTTGAGGTATTGAGGCGGAGTGTCGATGAAACATTCAGGTGTCTGTGGCAAACTTAGGTATCTTAAAACAAATGTTCTCATTGGTGACTTGAGTTTTGTCACAAAAGGTCAAAAAAAAAATATCAAAACTTATTTGTCCGCACTGTAACTTGCTTATGCATTGAAGTATTATGCTTTATGGTCAGAGGATTTTTAAATAGTTGACGGTTGCGCTGATTTCGACATAGTTAAAATGGCTATTCAGTGTTTGTGTGTGCGTGCACATAACTTTGTGTCACGCACATGAACCAGGTCACTGGGTCAGATGCCAAGGTCAACAATGATGATGAAATGTCATCCCATCCATGTGTACATCTTTCTGCTTGATCGTAAGTTTATAGGGTCAAGTTTAAATTAGGATGAGCGGACAAGTTTTCTTAAAACAGTTTTAAGATCCACTCTAACCGGTGAGCCACATTATGTGTGTAGCAGTCAATTATAGACAACAGGTAAAGGACAAGAGACTGATCCTAGCAGATTTACTTCAAATTCAATATTGACCAAATCTTGTGCTTTATACATGTTATAATGGTGGTAACATATTCATATTTTCTATACTGTAATGCAACTTTTATTTCCTTTCTTCATAACTTTAAAGCAACAACCCTTTTCCCAACATTATTTCACTTTTAATGGTACAAATAATCAAACATTTGTGTATCTTTTTAAAAGAAAATTTACGTTTTTTCGAATTTTATTTTGTTCATCTACATAGGCATGTACATACAATGATTAAAACTTGGTGAAACATCAACTATCTAATACAACAATGAAAATTATCATACCTGAGAGGACAGATCCTTCTCATAGTTTCTCAGTCAGTAAAAATATTTTATCATGTAATACATTTTTAAGGTAAGAAAATCAAAACTTCATTTACTTCTGAAATTAAATCACTCTGTTTTTTAACAAATCCTAAATGAAATTTTCACTAATCCAAACTAGTTTCAATATTATTTTATTAATTTCTTTTTTCATTTTGAACTCTCCAGTTCATCTAACTTTTCAACATCTTATTTTACATCATCTAACTTTTCATCATCTAACTTTTCAACATGTATTTTTTTTATCATTTAACTTTTAATCAGCTAACTTTTCCGGGTTATCATCAATTTTTTCAGGATTCTCATCTAACTTTTCAGGATCCACATCCAACTTTTCATCAGCTAAGTTTTCCGGGTTATCATCTAACTTTTCAGAATCCTCATCCAACTTTTCATCAGCTAAGTTTTCCGGGTTATCATCTAACTTTTCAGAATCCTCATCCAACTTTTCATCAGCTAAGTTTTCCGGGTTATCATCTAACTTTTCAGAATCCTCATCAATTTTTTCAGAATCCTCATCTAACTTTTCAGGGTCCTCATCCAACTTTTCAGGATCCTCTGAACACTTACAGGAATCTGCATTTTCTTCATCTTTTGGCAATTTCTTCATGATATTAATAGCAATGTCTTCGTGCTTAGGCAATTCTTTTCTGTCCACCAAATCAAACCGCCCAAATGGTCGGCCCCTGTTTTTCAAAAGTTCTACAATTTCTTTCCATGGTATTTTCTCATAAATCAACAAGTAAACCTTGCCATCATGACTGAGAGTTTCACATTTTAATTTAAGACTTTCTGCTATAGGTTTAAGTTTCTGCAGGTCTACTGCACGAATACCAGGTCCAATGATCAGCTCATCTTCTCCTTTATCTATTCTCTTCTTAAATTGTTCTAATTTGTCTCTTAAAACTGTCAACAGAAACTTGTCAGGTATAGGGTTGCCATCCTGGTCTTCAGCGATTGGGGGCTCTTCATCTGCATATGTGTCCCTTAAAGAATCAGCAACATCTTGTATAGACGACCAAGGAATCCATTTTTGGGCATCATCTGGTCGAGAGACTATCTGTAATTTACATAATGAATATATTTTTAGCTTATAATAAATAATAATATAATACATTGCATAATTGTAAAGTAACTTATATGTTGTGTTGGTTGGTCACAAATTTACATACCCACTATAACTAACTACTTCCAAAATATTAACTTAAAATACGGTGCAAAAAATAACAAGACTACACTCTATACTACTGACTATAGCCAGGTTAACCTTAACTTACAAAATAACCAGACTACACTCTATACTGCAGACTTTAGCTAGGCTTACCTGAACTTACAAAATAACCAGACTACACTCTTTACTGCTGACTATAGCCAGGTTAACCTTAACTTACAAAAAAAATAACCAGACTACACTCTACTGCTGAATGTAATCAGGTTAACATGAACTTACACAATAACAAGACTACACTCAATACTGCTGACTATAGCCAGGTTAACATAACCATATTACACTCTATACTGCTGATTATAGCCAGGTTAACCTTAACTTACAAAATAACCAGACAACACTCTACTGCTGAATGTAATCAGGTTAACATGAACTTACACAATAACCAGACTACACTCTATACTGCTGACTATAGCCAGGTTAACCTTCACTTACAAAATAACCAGACTACACTCTATACTGCTGACAATAGCTAGGTTAACCTTAACTTTCAAAATAACCAGACTACACTCTACTGCTGACTGTAATCAGGTTAACATGAACTTACAAAATAACCAGACTACACTCTATACTGCTGACTAAAGCCAGGTTAACCTTAACTTACAAAATAACTAGACTACACTATACTGCTGACTGTAATCAGGTTAACATGAACTTACAAAATAACCAGACTACACTCTATACTGCTGACTAAAGCCAGGTTAACCTTAACTTACAAAATAACTAGACTACACTCTACTGCTGACTGTAATCAGGTTAACATGAACTTTCAAAATAACCATATTACACCCTTTACTGCTGACTATAGCCAGGTTAACCTTAACTTACAAAGTAACCAGACTACACTCTACTGCTGAATTTAATCAGGTTAACCTTAACTTACAAAATAACCAGACTACACTCTACTGCTGAATGTAATCAGGTTAACATGAACTTACACAATAACAAGACTACACTCTTTAGTGCTGACTATACACAGGTTAACATGAACCTACAAAATAACCAGACTACACTCTATACTGCTCACAATAGCTAGGTTAACCTTTACTTTCAAAATAACCAGACTACACTCTATACTGCTGACTATACACAGGTTAACCTGGGCTTACAAAATAACCAAACTACACTCTACTGCTGACTGTATTCAGGTTAACATGAACTTACAGAATAACCAGACTACACTCTATACTGCTGACTATAGCCAGGTTAACCTTAACTTACAAAATAGCCAGACTACACTCTACTGCTGACTGTAATCAGGTTTACCTTAACTTACAAAATAACCAGACTATACTATATACTGCTGACTACAGCCAGATTAACCTTTTAACCTTAGCTTACAAAATAACCAGACTACACTCTACTGCTGACTGTAATCAGGTTCACCTGAACTTATGAAACAACAAGACATTTTTAGATGCTAACTATAGACAGGTTCACCTGAACTTACAAAATAACCAAGTACACTCTATAATGCTGACTTTAGTTAGGTTTACCTGAACTTACAAAATAACCAGACTACACTCTTTACTGCTGACTACAGCCAGGTTCACCTTAGCTTACAAAATAACCAGACAACACACTACTGCTGACTGTTATCAGGTTCAATTGAACTTTCAAAACAAGATATGTTTGTAAAACATGTATGCCCCCTAACGGCAGCCAATTTGTCATGTGATCAGGTTATTATGCATGACTTTTGACCCAGTGAACAAACAATTAATAAGGGTTATCTAGTATCTACTGGTCATGACTAGTCACAAGGTAATAATTATTGTGACCCCATAGTTTGTGTGCAGCAATTAAAGATATGAACAAGAGCGATCAGTAATCACATGTGTTGCCTCATAATGGCCAATTTCATGTTGGGACAAATTTTGTGACAGACAGACAGACGGACAGTGCACAACTAGACTTGGTACTGATCAATCATGTAAAGTTTGGATAAAATTGCACCAGTAGCTTATGAGGAGTAGTCGGGACAAGCTTTTGCGTATCTGGCAACACACAGAAAAAACACATTTTTATCAAAGGGCCATAACTCATCAAAAATCATTCAACCGGAAAACCCGTGCAATATGCGCAAGGACTTGAGCTACAGATCAATCCTGTAAAGTTTCATTGAAATTGCATAAGTGGTATAAGAGAACTAATCCGGACAAACTTTAAAAATAAAAATTATTAAAGGGCCATAACTCTGACAAAAATCATTGAACCGGAAAATGCTGACAATATGCACAACAAGACTTGGTACTGATCATTCCTGTAAAGTTTGGATGAAATTGCACCAGTAGTTTATGAGGAGTAGTCCGGACAAGCTATTGTGTATCTGGCAACACACAGAAAAAAACACCTTTTTATCAAAGGGCCATAACTCGGCCAAAAATCATTCAACCAAAAAACCCTTGCAATATGCGCAAGGACTTGAGCTACAGATCAATCCTGTAAAGTTTCATTGAAATTGCATTAGTGGTATAAGAGAAGTAGTCCGGACAAACTTTAAAATTAAAAATTATTAAAGGGCCATAACTCTGACAAAAATCATTGAACCGGAAAATGCTGACAATATGCACATCTAGACTTGATACTGATCATTCCTGTAAAGTTTGGATGAAATTGCACCAGTAGTTTATGAGGGGTAGTCCGGACAAGTTTTGTGACGGACGGACGGACGGACAGACGACGGAGAAGTGATCCCTATATGTCGCCACTACTCCGTAGAGGCGACACAAAAATCTTACCAAATAATATATACATAAATTTATGAATCACATAGGCCTCATTAATGACAGCCAAGTTGTTATATTACATAAGACCTTCAAATGTGTATACCAAAAGCACATAAAAATATCAACAAAGGCAACTTGAGTTGTTAAGTTATTGTTCAGAAACGGTCATTAAGTACAAGGTCACTATGACATTGACCCTTTGACCCCAAAATCAATAGGGGTCATATACTGGTCATGACCAATCATCATACCAAGTTTGAAGTTCCAAGGCCTAAGGGTTCTTTAGTTATTGATCCGAAACCGTTTTTACCTACAAGGTCAATGTGACCTTGACCTTTGACCCCTTGACCCCAAAATAAATAGGGGTCATCTGCTGGTCATGACCAATTATCATACCAAGTTTGAAGTGCCTAGGCCTTAGCCTTTTTTAGTTATTGATCCGAAAGCGTTTTAATTTAGAAGGTCAATGTGACCTTGAATTTTGACCCCAAAATCAATAGGGGTCATATGCTGGGCATGACCAATCATCATACCAAGTTTGAACTTCCCAGGCCTAAGCGTTCTATAGTTATTGATCAGAAACCATTTTTACCTACAAGGTCAATGTGTCTTTGACCTTTGACCCCTTGACCCCAATATCAATAGGGGTCATCTGCTGGTCATGACCAATTATCTTACCAAGTTTGAAGATCCTAGGCCTAAGCATTCTTTAGTTATTGATCGGAAACCTTTTTAACATACAAGGTCAATGTGACCTTGACCTTTGACCCATAAATCAATAGGGGTCATCTACTGGTCATGACCAATCATCATACCAAGTTTGAAGTGATAGGCCTTAGCCTATTTTTAGTTATTGATCGGAAACCGTTTTTACCTACAAGGTCATTGTGACCTTGACCTTTGACCCCTTGACCCCAAAATCAATAGGGGTCATCTGCTGGTTATGACTAATCACCATATCTAGTTTGAAGTTCCTAGGCCTGAGGGTTCTTTAGTTATTGATTGGAAACCGTTTTAACATACAAGGTCAATGTGACCTTGACCTTTGACCCCTAAATCAATAGGGGTCATCTGCTGGTCATGAACAATCACCATATCAAGTTTGAAGATCCTAGGCCTAAGCATTCTTAAGTTATTGATCGGAAACCGTTTTAACATACAATGTCAATGTGACCTTGACCTTTGACCCCTAAATCAATAGGGGTCATCTACTGGTCATGACCTATCATCAAACCAAGTTTGAAGTTCCTAAGCCTGAGGGTTCTTTAGTTATTGATCGGAAACCGTTTTTAGCTACAAGGTCAATGTGACCTTGACCTTTGACCCCTTGACCCCAAAATCAATAGGGGTCATCTGCTGGTCATGATCAATCACCATACCAAGTTTGAAGATCCTAGGCCTAAGCATTCTTTAGTTATTGATCGGAAACCGTTTTAACATACAAGGTCAATGTGACCTTGACCTTTGACCCCTTGACCCCAATATCAATAGGGGTATTCTACTGGTCATGACCAATCACCATACCAAGTTTGAAGTTCCTAGGCCTAAGGGTTCTTTAGATATCACTTGGAAACCATTTGGTCTACGGACCGACAGACCGGACGGACGGACAAGTGCAAAGCAATATACCCCCACTTCTTCTAAGTGGGGGCATAATAACCAGACTACACTCTTTACTGCTGACTACAGCCAGGTTCACCTTAGCTTACAAAATAACCAGACAACACTCTTCTGCTGACTGTAATCAGGTTAACATGAACTTACAAAATAACCAGACTACCCTCTTTACTGCTGACTACAGCCAGGTTCACCTTACCTAACAAAATAACCAGACTACACTCTTCTGCTGACTGTAATCAGGTTAACATGAACTTACAAAATAACCAGACTACACTCTATACTGCTGACTATAGCCAGGTTAACCTTAACTTACAAAATAACCAGACTACACTCTACTGCTGACTGTAATCAGGTTAACATGAACTTTCAAAATAACCAGACTACACTCTATACTGCTGACTATAGCCAGGTTAACCTTAACTTACAAAATAACCAGACTACACTCTACTGCTGACTGTAATCAGGTTTACATGAACTTACAAAATAACCAGACTACACTCTATACTGCTGACTATAGCCAGGTTAACCTTAACTTACAAAATAACCGGACTACACTCTACTGCTGACTGTAATCAGATTAACCTTAACTTACACAATAACCAGACTACACTCTATACTGCTGACTACCGCCAGGTTCACCTTAGCTTACAAAATAACCAGACTACACTCTATACTGCTGACTGTAATCAGATTAACCTTAACTTACAAAATAACTAGACTACACTCTATACTGCTGACTACCGCCAGGTTCACCTTAGCTTACAAAATAACCAGACTACACTCTACTGCTGACTGTAATCAGGTTAACATGAACTTATGAAATAACCAGACTACACTCTTAGCTGCTGACTATAGCCAGGTTAATCTTAACTTACAAAATAACCAGACTACACTTTATACTGCTGACTACCGCCAGGTTCACCTTAGCTTACAAAATAACCAGACTACACTCTATACTGCTGACTGTAATCAGATTAACCTTAACTTACAAAATAACCAGACTACACTCTATACTGCTGACTACCGCCAGGTTCACCTTAGCTTACAAAATAACCAGACTACACTCTATACTGCTGACTGTAATCAGGTTAACCTTAACTTACAAAATAACCAGACTACACTCTATAATGCTGACTTTAGATAGGTTTACCTGAGCTTACAAAATGACCAGACTACAGTCTATACTGATGACAATAGCCAAGTAAACCTGAACTTACAAAATAACCAGACTACAATATATACTGCTGACTATGTAATTTAATTTTTCAGACAGAGGTCTGCCAGTTAAGATTTATAGAGTAAGCATTGGTTAATTGATTTTCTCCTTGATCTTAGGGCAAGATAAAAATATCACTGTGACAACTGATCCTGGAAGTTGTGTCTAATGGTAAATTATCTCTTGTTTCATGTTGGAAATAACATGGGATAAAAGTTTAAAGAAATTTAAATACTGACTAGTTATTCTGCAAAACAAGTTTGATTGATTGACATTATGATAAATAACCCCCCCCCCCCCCCCAAAAAAAAAAAAACAACTTAAAATTGGCAATAAAAATCTGAATAACAAACAAATCAAATTCAATAATGTAAATATTTGTATATAAGACAAATCTGTCAAACAAATGCAAAATCAAACAGTATGATCATAAAGACAATATAATACCTTGAGTACATCCTGGGTTTCATACAGTTTAAAGAGAGCATCTATCGCTGCCAAATTTTTTGTAGCATTTCTTCTTGGACCGTAACTGTCTCCTAAGACTTGCTTCTGTACAGAAAATATGTACCTAAAACATATACAATGTTTATAATTAATTTATAGTATTGCACATATGTAAAGTTAGTTTTTATTGGACAATCCTGTTGTTTGTATGTGTATAAAATGCTGCTGTAACATTTTCTAAGCCAATCGTAACCAAGTTACATTAAAGGTTTTTGCATGATGACAATGACAACAACAAAGCCCAACATCATAATACTTTGACAGATAAACTAAAAACTGGCTTTACATCATTTCAAATAACATGTACAGTAAATTCCATTTGGCAAATTGAACAGTAAATCAAGAACCTTTTTTTGAAATACAGCCCAATGATAAAATGCCTTTTATTATTACTACAATTATATTATAATAATATTGGAATTTTTAGTAAGCTTGTGGTGACTATATCTACCCCAGAAACCAGTGACATCTGATCATGGTCTGTACTGTCTGACATTCAATCAGTTCTCATTTTGAAGTTTTTCTCCATCATGTATGGTTTTATCTAGTAAGAAAGACAGACAAAACATTTTTTTCACATTTATATGTAGTGTGGTTAGGGTACATAAAGAATTACCTGTGGAATTTTCCTACAGCAAACCATTCCCACTGTAATATTAGGCCATTTTGATAACAACTGTAGTTAAGTATACTGAATGCCCTCCTTTTACGATCATTTGACCAAGTTTTGTGTTCAATTATAACCAAGTCCTTTAAGTCCAGTTTCTCACATTCACTTATCTTATATCCAAAATTTCTCAGATGGTTGATATTTGATTCCAAAGATCTCTCTGAAAGATAAAACACATGTTAAACCATTTCAAATCCAATTTATTACAAAGCAAAGCATTTCAAGTCCCATTTATTACACAGTAAAGCATTTCAAGTCCCATTTATTACACAGTAAACCATTTCAAGTCCCATTTATTACACAGTAAACCATTACGAGTCTCATTGATACACAGTAAAAATTATCAAGTCCCATTTATTACAAAGTAAAGCATTTTAAGTCCCATCTATGAGACAGGAAAGCATTTCAAGTTCCAATAATTACAAAGTAAAGCATTTCTATTCCCATTTATAACAAAATGTCTTAATCTATTTTGAACTTGCCATTGTAGAATCATTTGTGGTAAAATACATATTGCCATTCATTAATTACTGTGAAGTTATTTGTATTCATGGGCATTAAATTTTATGGTTTTATCAAAACTGGCATGTTCAAAGGTTCTTAAATTTGTGGATTTTCATTTTCTTGTAAAACAAGAGGGCCATGATGGCCCTGAGGTCGCTCACCTGTATATAGCCCCCCCCCCCAACCCCCACCCCCCCCCCCAAACGTTGCAGAGCCAATTTAACCCAAGGGCTTTTATTTGCAAAAAACTTGGTAGACACCCATAAGAAGATGTTTCATGCTAAACATCTTAGCTCTAGCTCATTGGGCTTTTTAAAAGAAGATTTTTTTTAAGTTTTTACTATACACATATAGTTAAAAACAATGACACCCCTGGGGCCGGGCCAGTTTTGACCCCAGGGCTTTTATTTGAACAAACTTTGTAGACACTTACTAGAAAATGTTTCATGCTTAATATCTAAACTCTAGCTATTTGGGTTTTTTTCAAAGAAGATTTAAAGTTTTTGCTAAACACATATAAAGAAAATCAATGACCCCCGGGGCGGGGCCAATTTTGACCCCTGGGCTTGAATTTGAACAAACTTGGTAGACACCTATTTAGAAACATGTTTGATGCTCAATATCTTAGCCATAGCTCTTTGAGTTCTTTAAAAGAAGATTTTTTTTAAGTTTTTACTATATGCATATAGGGAAAATCAATGACCCCCTGGGGCGGGGCCAATTTTGACCCCAGGGCTTTTATTTGAACAAACTTGGTAGACACCTATTAGAACATGTTTCATGCTAAATATCTTAGCTCTAGCTCTTTGGGTTCTTTAAAAGAAGATTTTTTAAGTTTTTAATATATGCATATAGGGAAAATCAATGACCCCGGGCGGGGCCAATTTTGACCCCAGGGATTTTATTTGAACAAACTTGGTAGACACACACTAGAAGATGCTTCATGCCAAATATGTAAGCTCTAGCTCTTTGAGTTCTTTAAAAGAAGATTTTTAAGTTTTTTACTATATGCATATAGGGAAAATCAATGACCCCCGGGGCGGGGCCAATTTTCACCCCAGGGCTTTTATTTGAACAAACTTGGTAGACACCCATTAGAACATGTTTCATGCTAAATATCTTAGCTCTAGCTCTTTGGGTTCTTTAAAAGAAGATTTTTTAAGTTTTTACTATATGCATATAGGGAAAATCAATGACCCCCTGGGGCGGGGCCAATTTTGACCCCAGGGCTTTTATTTGAACAAACTTGGTAGACACTCACTAGAAGATGTTTCATGCCAAATATCTAAGCTCTAGCTCTTTGAGTTCTTTAAAAGAAGATTTTTTAAGTCTTTACTATATGCATATAGGGAAAATCAATGACCCCCCGGGGCGGGGCCAATTTTGACCCCAGGGCTTTTATTTGAACAAACTTGGTAGACACCCATTAGAACATGTTTCATGCTAAATATCTTAGCTCTAGCTCTTTGGGTTCTTTAAAAGAAGATATTTTAAGTTTTTACTATATGCATATAGGGAAAATCAATGACCCCCGGTGCAGGGCCAATTTTGACCCCAGGGCTTTTATTTGAACAAACTTGGTAGACACTCACTAGAAGATGTTTCATGCCAAATATCTAAGCTCTAGCTCTTTCAGTTCTTTAAAAGAAGATTTTTTAAGTTTTTACTATATGCATATAAAGAAAATCAATGACCCCCCAGGCGGGGCCAATTTTGACCCCAGGGCTATAATTTGAACAAACTTGATAGACACTCTCTAGAAGATGTTTCATGCCAAATATCTAAGCTCTAGCTCTTTGAGTTCTTTAAAAGAAGATTTTTTTACGTTTTTACTATATGCATATAGGGAAAATCAATGACCCCCCGGGCAGGGCCAATTTTCACCCCAGGGCTTTTATTTGAACAAACTTGGTAGACACCCATTAGAACATGTTTCATGCTAAATATCTTAGCTCTAGCTCTTTGGGTTCTTTAACAGAAGATTTTTTAAGTTTTTACTATATGCATATAGGGAAAATCAATGACCCCCCAGGGGCGGGGCCAATTTTGACCCCAGGGCTTTTATTTGAACAAAATTGGTAAACACTCACTAGAAGATGTTTCATGCCAAATATCTAAGCTCTAGCTCTTATGGTTTTTTAAAAGAAGATATTTAAAGTTTTTTCTTTCGGTTGCCATGGCAACCAGAGTTATGCATGGAATTAAATTCTTTGAACAATTTTTAAAGGTGACCACCAAAGGAACATTCCTGTGAAGTTTGGATGAAATTGGCTTAGTGGTTTATGAGGAGATGTCATTTAAAGTAAAAGTTTACGGACGGACGGACGACGGACGGACGGACGCCGGACGAAAAGCGATCACAAAAGCTCACCCTGTCACTTTGTGACAGGTGAGCTAAAAATGGAAAGTAATCTTTCACTTAATCACAACCCTGTTTTACTTTACTGTGTGTATATAACACAGCTCTTGTCAATAAATTAAATCCTTGCCTCTGATAGTAACACAGTTACTTCCGATAACTAACTGCAATTAACACGGTTATGTGACATAATATGCAGCTCCATTGCTAACACTGCCCCAATAATTTGCCAATGTAAACATCCCATAAATTATAGACATCTGCCACTTTTTAACCAGCTAGAACTACACACTACATCACATTGACTGTGAAAATTTATATGCATATAAGTTAAAAAGAGTAAGTGGCTCAAAACTAGGGCTGGTGCGAGTATCAGAGTACTCAGACAATCACAAATCAAAGTAAAAAATTGAGTTTGAATATTCGGAAGCCCAGAGATCGTGGATCGCGATCTAATTTTTTTTTAAATACATTCACTGTTTCTCACACTCATAAAATCGAGAAAATTACGATTTGAGTGTAAATTATATAAAGTTTACCTAAATACAACTTGCCGGTTAAAGACTATGTACCATGATGCTTAGCTAGGAAGTAATTGGTTTAAAAAAATACTCATCCAAAGAATAAAAACATAAACCTAGTTTCTATTTTATATGTTTAATGTGTAGTATTGTTTTTTTTTTTAAATAAACATGTTTTTGTAACTTAAATGTGCATGTTTTTATGGGTGTCTTGATAACAAAAGATTTGTGGTTCGATTTGTGAATCGTAAGTGCTGAATCGTGGTTCGGATCGGATCGACACTTATCCGACGATCCACACCCCTACTCAAAGCATATGTATGTGTACATCTAGTAAAAAACTGGTGGCTTCTTTGATATTTTTGGAATAGCAGTTACACAAATACGGATTGAAATTTATTTAAATGGATCATATAAACACTAGTTGTGTAATGTTTTATCGCCGCTTATTAATGCACTCGGTCCTATATTTACTTGATTATGTCACGTATTCTGACAAACACAATCTACTTGCCTACAATGATCATGAAGTTCCCCCCTGATGTTTATACGCGACGAACATTTGTGACAGCAAACTAAAGACATACAATTGATTTTTTTTTCTCTTAAATATTGCAAAACTAAACTATTTATGGATTAAATTTGTCATTGACCTGATTATTAGAATAAATTCATACCACTAAAATCGGCCGGAAAAGCGCCCAGGCATGTTGTGATAAATGCAACAGAGACACGGTTAGAAGTTTTTGTTGAGATAAAATTTCGTTGGGTCTTAAATTTGTGGTTTGACCTAACAACGAAAACCACACAAATTTGTGCCCCACGAATAATAATGATTTCACAGTGTAATATTAACAATAGCAAACTATAGCCACTTTTTATTTATTTTAGTGATTACTGAACCTGATATATGTTATAAGTATAATACAAGAACAATACCTTTTCCTTTGATTACAACATCAAGGTGCCGTGGGTCTTTTATTTCCTCGTCTGTTATACGTTTATTATTTGAAACAATGTCTTCAATATTAGCATCCATTAACACCTTCCATGCTTCTTTGTGTAACCTCACCGTACATTCTTGCTTCTCCGTGCCTTCACCTTCAAATATTAAACAAAGTTGTTTTTTTTCCACTGCTTAAACTGAAGATATTTCTACACTGCAAGGACATGTAATAACTATTATGCTTTACACCATCAAGAAGAGCTCTTGATGTTGTTGTTTTTCAGGCATGTTAACATACAACACTTTCTTGCATATCAGACAAATCAGACAGGTGTTTCTGTTAGTTTTACCCATGCTAGAAATTCATTTGACATGGGGGACACCTAATGATTCCAATAAGCCTAATGCTCTAAAATGACATCACATTTGACATGGGGGACACCTAATGATTCCAATAAGCCTAATGCTCTAAAATGACATCACATTGAGGCAGTTTTTAATGAACCGTATTCTTATAATCATGTCCTTAAAGTTTAATGTAAACCTTTGAAAAATAAATAAGTTAGTGCAAAAACTATCAATTTTTATAAATAAAAGTCCAAGTTCAATACGAGGAATAATTCTAGAAATATTCTAGAGTTATGAATCTTGTCCAGAGTTCCAGATAATTTTTTTTACACTGGGGGTAATTACCTCCACTTTTCAGAATGTGGGGGTAAATCTAGATATATCGTAAATCTAAAGGGTACAATTAAATGACTTACTTTTTTGTATAAAAATAATATGATCCTTTGAAAATAGAATATTTTTTTAATGAAAATACATTAAAGATATTTATTTTGTATTAATTTAGCAGATATTCAGCGTGAATTCACTTCAATCGAAAGGCCTTTACCATATTCTTATTTTATCTTATATTTTTTACAACAAAAATTGGTGACAATACATAAACAGTAACATTACAAATAATCATCAATAAATTGCCGATTTCTGCATGTTTATTGCACCTTCATTAGCCCATACATTGCCAGCTTTAAATTTATGACAAGTCAGATATTTCATTCGTACTTCAGTACTGAGTTTCTGAAATTTGAAGCCACGGATAACATTTTTGCCAATTTTCAAGTGTTGTGTTGCGATTCACAATTATGTGCGCCCTTTTCATTTTAAATACATGATCTAAAATGTCTTCAACAATAGGATTCACAATTGTTTCAGTGTGTGCATAACTGAGTTGCGTTAAAAAAATGTTAATTTTCCTCTGCTTTGGTTCGGAAGCAGCCATGATTTACGTCTTTATTAACAAACACTAGCAATTATAAATGGAAATCAAGCCACACGTTTTACCAAGCGTCTACGCGATAAAAACATAATTTGACTGGTTTACAGAATGAAAAGTAGTTGGAAGTATTTTGGTGGGTATTAAACGGAAAAAGATACACAGTCAACTGTTAAACAGAAATGGAATAAGCTGTTTCGAAAATGAAAGTACACACCAAATACACTTCGATTTTTCATTCTTTGCGTATTTTATTTATAGCGTGCGTAAATGAACGCAACAAATTTGAAATAGTGTGCGTATTTAGCTGCTTTTATATGCCGATACGCACGTTATCTGGAACTCTGTTGTCACACATATTGTGGGTGGTAATAAGTAACAAACATTTGAAGTTTTAAGTAGATACCATAAGACATGAACAAGTTATAGTAAAAACATTTTTTACAGAAATTCTAAGTAAGGGGGATAATTCTGAAATTTGTGCTAGAGTTATGATTCTTGTCACACATCATGTGGTTGATCATAACGAACATAATTTTTCGTTTCGAGTAGATACCTTTAGAAATAAAGAAAGAGTAAATAAAATAATATTTTTTAAGGAAAATTCTACGTTTATGGAGAGATAATTCTGAAAATATTGCTTCTAGAGTTCTGAAAATGTTCACACTTTATGTGTTTAATTAATAAGGAACATACATTTGAAGTTTAAAGCTGATACCTTAATAAATAAAAAGGTTATTCTAAAATATATTTTACTGCATCAAACTTTAATCTGAAACACTGACGCCTGGGGGAGTAGGACAGCTCGCCATATACTTTGTATAGTCAAGGTAAAAAGTAAAAAAGTATATGTATTTGTTTTGTTTGTATACTTACAGGACACAATGAATATCTGATTAAGGTAATATTCACAAATCATCTGATCACTTTTTTCTCCCTTGTCTTCTACTTGTTTGTATACAATAATAGGAGTCAGTCCTTTCACCAGAACTGCCACATCTAGCTGAACAATTATATCTTCTTTACACCTCTGATGTTTGAGAGCATGACTCAGTGCTTTCATACGTGACAATGTTGGGTTTTCGGCAGATTCCCCTATACATCTCTGTAAGAAAAACATAAGAATACACATTATATTAAGATATAAACAGCAATTATTAATATCAAAATAAAAGTGAAACACCAAATGTTGAATGTTATGGAACAAAGCATCTATGTGGTAATGATTATCATTTACTAATCTTCTGACATGCAGTAATATAATCATCATATCATATTTGCTTACTTCTTATTATTAATTACTTAAAGATCCTGTAACACATTTTTTTCATGGTTTTATTTCATAAATATGATGCTCAATTTAAATCTGTCAATATTATAAGTTCCAATAGGCATTATTATAAAGAATAACTGATATTAACGAATTTAACATTTCATGTAAATAAAGGGAGGAAATAAGAAATTTATTTCCTATAAATTCTAAGTCAAATTTTCCAATTAGAAATGAATGCATATAATTTATCAATTAAATATAATGTGCACAAATATTTGTAGTACACATTTTACATATTCTTCAATGTTTGAAAATTGTTTTTTTTTTGCATAATTATATACAATATATATTTTTTTTGGCAAACGTGGTATCCACACAGTAACAATATCAATCACAAATCATACAGGATCTTTAAATGTTCTAACTTCTAGTAGTTGTAAAAGTAAATGCTATTATTATTTTAAAGGTTCATTGGGCTAGGTACAAAATTGTATCCTATTTGTTTCATTGTTATCTACACACGCCACAATAACAAACTGTTCAATTTAAAATAGCTTCACACAAAATAAAACAATTTGTGTTTTTGTATATATAGTGGAAGCTATCAACATTATAACACTCACAATATCCGGTACTGCTTTGATTTCTACAACAGATTCCATCAATTCATCCACTGACAGAGATTTCAGACGCTCAAGTGCATTTGTGTACGCCTCCAGCTTGCATTTCCTCTTGGTTATATCCCCTCCTCGACCAATCACTACAGACCCTATACTTAGTTTACCTCGGAAGAAACAGAGACCGTTTGACATTTTTGCAACATCTGCTTGGAATTCATGTGAAATAAGCACACAAGATTGGGACACTGCTTGCTCTATGACTGCAACAGGACTTTGTGGTACATTTTTCATTGTCTGAAAAAACAAAAAACAAAAAAAAAACCCATAAAATTTACAATTACAGCAAAAACTTCAATTGCAACTTTATGGCTTCTTTTAAACAAACAAACTCTGTAATAATATCTTTATCAAAAATTGATGCTTACTAGTCATTAAAACTCTTATCATGCTGAACTTTTGTAATGAATATGCCATTTAAAGCATTTCATTATCAAAATACAAAAATTAAACAACCAGCAGAAGAGCCTGCCTGGTCAGATTGCATTAATTCCAGCAGGTTAGGTGCTAGACAAGCTAATGCGCAGGCTGGTCTGGATCCATGCTGGTCGCAAACACACTATGTTGGTTTTGTCATGACGCGGCTCATATTATCCATCATTTTTGGCCTGCCTTACTTTCTTCTGTAACTTTTATTTATCTATTTGTCTGTGTTTCAACACTAATGACATGACAACATAGTTACAGACTATATGTGCACTACTATCTTTGTTTAAATATGAATGTACTGATCATTATGTGTTTAGTTGTTCTTTTTTTTGTTTTATTGTATACTGGGGATATTGAATGAGTGCAAATTCAATACTGAATTTATTGAATGAGTTGAATAAAATTATATTTTGCGAGCTTATTTCATACAACAAGTTCAATAAATTCTGTATTGAAATTACACAAATTCAAAAGACTGTTTATCACACATCCAAAATAAAAAGTGTTTAAAGTGAAAAAGAATAATTTTTCATTGACGCGACTATAGTATAGCACTAACATTTAGTACGTCTTGACCCTATATTGGTATAATGCAAATGACGTCACATGAAAATATATGCACGGCTGTGCAGTACCATTTTTACAGAGTCGCATAAACGGCACGGGTACAATGTATGTGAAAAATAGGATATACCGGTATGACACACTCATAAAGTATCTGTAATATGAACTTCAAATAAGTTTTACTGAATCTACAGCTTTGTTCCTTCATATTTCTGATACTTACTAGAAGAGCATTAACAATCCTGGTTAACACACTATGCATCTCTGGATCATGTTTACCGGCCTGACTTTTTTCTTTCTTTATTAAATCTTCATCAAACTTCTGTAATTCTGTTTGAAGTTGCTGCTCCAACTGTTGTCTAAAATATTGTTACAATTTCATATATTTAACTCAAATCTGGGTTTATCAAATTGGAAATTTAAAAGTTGATGTAGCTCGGTTATACATGTTTGTAAATGAAGCCAAGCTCTATACTGGTGGCAATGGCTTATCACTTCTTCAGTCCCACTAGTGTAAAGGTTAAAATAAAACTAGAAATAAGTCCTTAGGACATAGACAAGAGGGCCATTATGGCCATGAAATTGCTCACCTGTATATAGGCACATTGGCCAAGGCCAATTTTAAACAAGGGGCTTTTATTTGAAAAAACTTGGTAGACAACCATATGAAGATGTTTCATGATAAATATCTAAGCTCTAGCCGTTTGGGGTTTTTATAAGAAGATCTTTTTAAAGTTTTTACTATACACATATAAGGAATATCAATGACTCCTGGGGCAGGGCCAATTTTAACCTAGGGACGCCGAAAAAAAAAGCGATCACAAAAGCTAACCATGTCACTTTGTGACAGGTGAGCTAATAAAACAAGAGGGCCATGATGGCCCTGAGGTCACTCACCTGTGTTTAGCCCAACCGGAGCGGGGCCAGTTTAAACCCCAGGGCTTTTATTTGAACAAACTTTGAAGACACCCATTAGAAGATGTTTCATGATGGTAAGTTTTTACTACACACATATAATGAAAAACAATGACGCCCCCCCCCTTCCCCCCACACCCCGGCAGGGCCAATTTTAATCCAAGGGCTTATTCCAACAAACTTGGTAGACACCCATAAGAAGATGTTTCATGCTAAACATCTAAGCTCTAGCTCATTGGGTTTTTTAAAAGAAGATTTTTTAAGTTTTTTACTATACACATATAGTTAAAAACAATGACACCCCTGGGGCGGGGCCAGTTTTGACTGCAGGGCTTTTATTTAAACAAACTTTGTAGACACTTACTAGATGCTTAATATCTAAATTCTAGTTATTTAATTATTTTTAAAGAAGATTTTTAAGTTTTTGCTATACACATATAAGGAAAATCAATGACCCCTGGGGCGGGGCCAATTTTGACCCCAGGGCTTTTATTTGAACAAACTTGGTAGAAACCCATTAGAACATGTTTCATGCTAAATATCTTAGCTCTAGCTCTTTGAGTTCTTTAAAAGAAGATTTTTAAAGATTTTACTATATGCATAAAGGGAAAATCAATGACCCCCTGGGGCGGGGCAATTTTGACCCCAGGGCTTTTATTTGAACAAACTTGGTAGACACTCATTAGAAGATGTTTCATGCTAAATATCTTAGCTCTAGCTCTTTAGGTTCTTTAAAAGAAGGTTTTTTAAGATTTTACTATATGCATATGTGGAAAATCAATGAACCCCTGGGGCGGGGCCAATTTTGACCCCAGGGCTTTTATTTGAACAAACTTGGTAGACACTCACTAGAAGATGTTTCATGCCAAATATCTAAGCTCTAGCTCCTCGGGTTTTTTAAAGAAGATATTTAAAGTTTTTTCTTTTGGTTGCCATGGCAACCAGAGTTCTGCATGGAATTAAATTTTACGGAAGAACGGACGCCGGACGAAAAGCAATCACAAAAGCTCACCCTGTCACTTTGTGACAGATGAGCTAAAAAATACAGCATGAGACCAAAATAACCTCCAATGAAGGTGCATACTGAGTACCTTTATCTTTACTGTAACTCACAGCAAAAATTTCAAAACACTACTTTGATGATCCTCTGTTACTGTAATGCTTGTTTTACAAGCTAGCTATAAGGCAATTATAGGGGTGGCAAAGTGTACAATAACTGAGGCCAGACAATAACTTAAATCATATGTACATGTCATAGGGTGTAATCAACCTTAATCTATTTGGTTGTTCTTATTTTAGCATGGCTAGACCAGTGAAGCAGTTTCACCTTCTAAAGAAATAAGAACAAACTTCAAAGAAATCAATTAGATAGCAAATGTCTGCCCTTAAAAAAATTGAGGCAAGCAATTGTGTACCCTTTCAAAACATATGAGGGGGCAATTGTCTGCCACTGCAAATTAAGGGGGCAAATGTCTGAGAGCACAAATGTCCGGGAATCAGGTTATATAATACTTCAATAGATCAATACCATGCTCTTTTCAAAATGTATGTTCATGTCACTGATTTGAGCCGCGTCACGACAAAACCAATAAGGCGTTTACGACCAGCATGGATCCAGACCAGCCTGCGCAGTCTGATCAGGATCCCTGCTGTTCGCTTACAAACCCTATAACAAGTAGAGAAACTGATAGCGAACAGCATGGATCCTGAACAGACTGCGCGGATGCGCAGGCTGGTCTGGATCCATGCTGGTCGCAAACACACTATGTTGGTTTTGTCGTGATGCGGCTCATTTATACTTACTTTGCAGATTCTACTCCAGGATCTTTTAAACAGAATAGTTCTGGTATAGTCTTAGTCTTCAGTACAACAACGGCTTTCTCAAAAACTTCTCTCTTCAATTCTTTATTACTGGGCTTCAATCCTCGGGCCAAAAATAATGGTCCAACCTTCAACACGCCTGTATACATCGGGGTTGTTGATTTCGAAATGCCTATGTTCACTGATTCAAATGTTGTCTAAAATAACAATGTTGGGAGTAGAATACCTTATGTTAAAATTTGTTAGACATAAAATGATAAAATTCAATTATACATTACAAACAAGGAACATCGCAATGCGATGCAACCAGGTTTTCAGCAAAATATTTCACAGAAGCTTTGTCATGAAGGGGCATTTGTTTTTAATTGAACTTTTAGGAGGAATTATGGCTTTTTTAATATTCTCAAACAAAAATGATTGAGAAATTTTATGTTGTCTATTCGCCTTTTTTCCCCAAATATTTTAGAAAGGTAAACAGTACTTTATTTTTGCTTAATTTTTGCATTTTTGCGTCTCTTGTCATTTTCTTTTGTCAACAATATTGGCGTGTGGTGTTTTGTGCGATATCAAGAAAAGTATGTTCACAATTTTAAAAAAATACTTGAATGATGTCTTGGAAGAAACATGGGAATTTAGTGAGCGCCAGGGCACTTGATGACAAAGCTTCTGTGAAAGTTTGGTCAAAATCCATTGAGAAATGTAGGAGAAGTTACGCACTGTAGAAATTGTTCACTATATATTCTGTATAAGGAAACTAGAACTCCGCGAGTCGGATGTGTCGCCTTGTGAACAATGTAGTTTAGGGGAAATGGCCAGGACAAAAATGAAATATGAAAAATAAAAAAGGGCAATAACTAAAAAAATAATAAGTGCAGAGCAGCAGTTTCTGTACACTGCACTTCTTATCAATAAGATCTATCATTCTATGATGTTTCAAGTCCATAGCTTTCATACTTGAGGAGAAATGACCATGAGGACAAAAATTAAGTAAGAAAATCAACAAAGGGCAATAACTCAAAAATAAGAAATGCAGAGTATCAGTTCTTATGCACTGCACTTCTTTTTAATGAGATCTATCATCCTATGAAGTTTCAAGTCCATAACTTTTATACTTTCGGAGAAATGGCCTGGACAAAAATTAAGTATGAAAATTAACAAAGGGCCATAACTCAAAAATTAAGAAATGCAGAGTACAGATTCTTGTGCACTGCACTTCTTAATAATGAGATCTATCATCCTATGAAGTTTCAAGTCCATAGCTTTTATACTTAAGGAGAAATGGCCCGGACAAAATTAAAGTATGAAAATAAACAAAGGGCAATAACTCAAAAAATAAGAAATGCATAGTACCAGTTCTTGTGCACTGCACTTCTTCTTAATGAGACCTATTATCCTATGAAGTTTCAAGTCCATGGCTTTTATACATTAGGAGAAATGGCCCGGACAAAAATAAAGTATGAAAATTAACAAAGGGCAATAACTCAAAAATAAGGAAGTGCAGAGTACTGTTTCTTGTGCACTGCACTTCTTAATAATGAGATCTATCATCCTATGAAGTTTCAAGTCCATAGCTTTTTTAGTTGAAGAGAAATGGCCCGGACAAAATTAAAGTATGAAAATTAACAAAGGGCAATAACTCAAAAAATAAGAACTGAAGAGTACCGGTCCTTGTGCACTGCACTTCGGGTTATTGAAAGAAGCATGCATACCAAGTTTGAAGTCAATCAGACTTATAGTGCCTGAGTTATGCTCCGGACAAGCTTTAGGGGACGCCGACAATGACACAGACGCTGCCGACAAAAGTAACCCCTGCCGACAAAGGGCCATAAGTATTTGTGCCAGGCACTTTGATAGCAAAGCCCTCTGCTTTGAAAATATGTTGAGCACACTATATATTCTGTCATAGGCGACACAAAAATATACAAAGGGCCATAATTTGGTCAAATATTATCCAATCACAAAACCCCGACAATATGTGCCAGGCACTTGATAACAAAGCTTCTAAGAAAGTTTGGTTTTCAAAATCCGTTGAGAAATGTAAGAAGTTGCGCACAGAATGAAATTGTTCACTAATATATTCTATAATAAGGTCAAAAAAAACAAAGGGCCATAATTTTAGGTCAAATATACAACCAATTGCAAAAACCCTGGCAATATGTGACAGGGCACTTGATGACAAAGCTTCTGAGACAGTTTTGTCAAAAATCCGTTGAGAAATGTTAGGAGGAGTTGCGCACAGAAAAATTTTGTTCACTATATATTTTATATAAAGTAAAAAAAAAACAAAGGGCCATAATTAGGTCAAATATTATCTAAATCGCAAAACCCCGACAATATGCGCCAGGGCACTTGATGAACAAAGCTTCTGTGAAAGTTTTGGGTCAAAATCCGTTGAGAAATGTAGGAGGAGTTGCGCACAGAAGAAATTGTTTACGCCCGCCCGTCCGCCCATCCGCCCGCCCGCCCGCCGACATACCTCAATCTAATAACCAGTTTTTTCCTTCGGAAAACCTGGTTATAAAAACCCCAAGAATTTATCTCAGAAGTCATTTGCGTAATACAAACAAAGCTCAAGACCTTATTGTCAGCTTTTGATATGTGTAAATTTTTTAATTCCAATAGCTTCATTACTAAATTGATTTGAGACGCGTCACGACAAAACCAACATAATGGGTGTGTGACCAGCATGGATCCAGACCAACCTGTGCAGGCTGGTCTGGATCCATGCTGGTCCCAAACGCACTATGTTGGTTTTGTCGTGACGCGTCTCAAATCAATTTAGTAATGTGTCAATATATAGGACAGAGATACCTCCATATTTCACTGTATTCTTAGTACATGTATGGACAAAGTGGTGGATTATACTTAAATACTTACATTTTATTTTCACTATTGTTCTTTCTGCCACATTAAGAAAAAACATAGGCATGTAACAGCTTACATAATGAATGACATCAAAGAAACAGTAGTTTCCTAATGTTCCTGTAGCTACGTAAAGTACACTGTAATACAGTTATAACACCCATGTTGGGTTCTATTGAGATATCAAAACACATTATAGTAGGGTTCTGATATATAATGGCAATGTTCATCAAGAGAGCAGACTGTTGACAGGTAAAAATTCTCCATAACACACTAACAATGTACCTGTACATACAATGGTAACTTTTTGTGATATTTCAATCACTGAAAATAATTTACAATTACAAAATCTGCTATAACACGATGTATCCAAATATGTAAGCACACAGGACAGACTAACAAGGGCAATCTAGGTGCTTCCTCAAATTGTGTCTATAAGATATTTGTGATGAACATAGTATGATCAAAAATTTATACAAAAGGTGAGGAATAAAAACAGGCATACATGGATTCCAAGAACACTGAATGTCTCTGAATACATGACAAAATAACACTAACTGAAAGTAAAAATAGACACTTCTTACCTCAAGACCAATTCTTGTGTGCCCTATAGCATTCTTAATGATAGAAACTGGATTTTTTTCTACAGATGGTTTGTCACTTTTCAAATATGCACATAGTCTCTGGACCTGACAATAAAATATATCAATTAATGGCTATGACTTGCCTACATATCAATGGGAGTGACTTTTTTATATATCAATAGAAGACTTACTAGCTTAACAAAAGGGCCATAATTGCCCTTGGTTTGGTAAAATTTTTTTACACATTTTAAATAAAAACAAGTAGAAACAATAATTTTGTTTGTGTGACTTGTTAGATGAATGCTATAATTTGTTTCTTTACAATATAAACTTTTTGTTTTCAAATTGATGCATACAGGTGTCATTTAAGATATATAACTGGCCTATGTTGTCAAATTTACAATTCCTTATAGTGCCCACTAGGGGGTGTCATACCTTTAAGGTGTATCCTGAAAGACTGTTGTGTTCAAGTTTGAGAACAATCCATTTAAAAATAACAATGTTACAACCACAGATAAAGAAAAATTTTAGACTTTTAACACTAAAGGTCGTGGTCATTTATGAATGAAGGTCAAGTTTAGTCTGGTCTACTTGAAGGCCATGTACCAAGGGTTGTTGTGGCCAAGTATACACTATACATCAAGAACTTAAAAAGCTATGATCAACATTAAAGTTTTGTGACAGCAACAGCAATGGGAACATTGCCCTAACTGTAATAATCTCTCTTATTTTTTCTTAAAAAAAAGGTCAAGCTAATAAGCATTAAGACAAGTTTACCTTATCAGACATAGACATATCTTTAATATCCAAATCTTCCTTTATATCCTCCTTACAATATCGTTCCCTTCCTCTAACATCTCTACCAAACTCGTCTACAGAAGAACCTGATACTGAACCTGTAATATTAATATTAATAATAATAATAGTAATGTATTGTACTGAATTCTGCTAAAGAAATGAATAAGTTTTATTGTATAATTATGAAATTTTACTCTGCCATCTGATTGATTGAAACAAAATTAGTTTGACCTTTTTGTTTTAAATGTTTCAAATCAATTATTTTTGGTGTTGGACTAATTTGTTTTTTTTTTTTTTTTTAGTTTTTTGTTTTCATTTGTACTGGGGAAAGGGGTGTTATGTCCCATCAACAAAGTATAGGCTATATGGTAACTTTCCAGCTTTACTGGTGGAGGAATACCTCAGGTGAAATCTCCACTTTATTTCAGGCACAAGCATGCACCAATGTTCTGTAAGCTAGCTGGATAGCGTTCTGGTGTAGAATAAGACAATGCATACATAGCTTGAACCAACAATGTTGAGAGGAAAGCGGTTCAAAGTCAAAGACCATAACCACTTGGCCATGAACCTCCCTCATTCTTATAGTAAACATTTGTCTGGCAGCATATTTCAAACAACAAGTAAGAATTTTGAATAATAACATTAACTTAATACTTTACTAAATATATATGACATCAATACATAAAATATACCTCTTGGTGATCCACGCTCTCTGAATGACCCTCTATCTCCGCCCCTTCTATCTCCGCCCCTTCCTCCACGACCCCGCCCTCTATAATGTTTATCATCATCCCAGTCTTTCTTTAAAGGTCTTCTATCATCATCTCTGCTAGAGCTGAATCGGTCATGATCCACACTTCCTCTCCCTCTCATATGCCTTCCTTCACCCCTTCTGTCACTAAAATGACCTCTTCCCCGGTCTCCGTGCCCTCTACCCCAGTCCCCATGCCCTCTACCACGGTCCCCATGCCCTCTCCCCCGGGTTCCTCGACCTCGACCACCACTATCACCATCTCCTCTGGGCATCTCAGATCCATTTTCAAACTGTTCCCAATCACGACTTGCCTCATTGTTCCTTCTTTGATCTATTTTCATAAAGACCAGATATTTGTTTTGAACAGTAAATTTACTGTACACAGTACACTAATAATAACATAAATGATAATAAAATAGTAATACTAAATCATGCAGTTACTTTTTCATTATCTTTATCTAGACTTTGTATTCCAAATTTGCATTTTTTTACCATTTCGCTTTACATTACAGTTGCAAATAGAAAACAATCTAAATACAATATAATTTCAGCGAATTTCTCGTATATGTTTCTTTTGTTCACTTTTTATGCTGACACAGAAACACTATCCTACTTGTCCAAGTTTTATTGTTTTCATGGGTTAAACTTTGTTTTCAATTTTACTGTTGGTATATCGTTTACAGATAAGAATTCAGTATTTCACATTTATGATCATGTCTCTCCTGACTGAAATCATGTAATTATTAAGCTTGCATGTATATGCAAGGTGTGAATTATCTCATTATATTGGGCAATCCGTTAAAGAATCTAAAATACCAGATTGCTCACTTTGTCACTGAACATATTTAATTTATGTATTTCAACAATATTTAATAATGGATAAACTAAAAATGGATATCAAATATTGGTATTTGAAAATTGATATCTAAGCATAATCACAACATGTAATATAATTAAACTAAACACCTAAACTTAAAATTAAATATTAAATAATTATACTGTTTGAAATCAAGTTACATTTAAACTCACAAATCCCTGTATTAAAATGAAGTTAATTTTAGTAAAATTTAATTTTTGCAATACTCAGTCCATGCGGAAAAAAATGAAAATTAGATACATGCAATAAAATCCTGATACACGATATACTCCTTTGTCAAAAAACTCTTACCCTGTTCCCTCCTTGACCTAGGGTCTGCATATTCATCCCATGAAGGCCTTTGTGTGTTATCCTCTCTTGGAGGGCCCACAGGTGGAAAATCCTCTCTTGGAGGGGCCCTTGGTGGATAATCATGTGGAGGAGCCCTTTGTGGATAATCCTCCCTTTGAGGTGCTCTTGGGGCATAATCCTCCCCCGGAGGTGGCCTTGGCATATAATCACCTCTTGGAGGGGCCATTGGTGGAAAATCCTCCCTTGTGGGGGGTCTAAATGGATACTCTCCCTGAGGATAAGGTCTTGGTGGATATCCCTCACCTGCAGGTGGCCATCGTGAATAGTCCTCATTTGCAGGAGGTCTTTGAGGATAGCCCTCAGGAGGTCTTTGAGGATAGCTGTCAGGAGGCCTAACAGGATAACCCTCAGGAGGCCTTTGAGGGTAGCCTTCAGTTGCTGGTGGCCTTGGTGGGTAATATGGAGGGTAATTATCCCATGATGGCATGTTTGGTAAATAGCCTTCACCTGCAGACCCTTGTTGATATCCTTTTCCTGCAGCCCATGCATTATAACTAGTATTTGTTGTAGATGTTGCTGGGTGCTCATGTTTTAAGGGAGGTCCTTGAGGATTCATACTATTAGGGACTGGATAACCCATAAGTGATTCTTCAAATCTTGCAGGTTTAAAATCATATCCTTCCCATCCTTGAGGCCTTGACTCTTTTCTTGGTGGAGCCCATTCATCTTGTGTTGCTAGGTATCCAGGTTGTGCCCACTGTTCAGGGTATGGTCTCTTATTAGGTCCTGTTGGTGGCGGTGGTGGTGGTGGAGCATATGCCATTTTATGACTAAAAATGAAAAGGCAATGTAATATCAATATAGAATTAACTAGCAAATTATAAAAGTATTGCAAGCAATACAAAAGTCAAGTGTCTGCAACATTCTGAAGGGTCATGACCATTCAATTATGCCATTGTAGAAGAGAAGAATAAACTTCTGATTTTTAGTTTGTGTGTATAACTGTAATGTGATTAGTTTCCATTTATTTATAAAACATGGATAATTGGATATGTATAACTAATGTTTCAGCTTTGCTTTTTTTTAAATTCCAAGAACTTTAAAAGTGATTTCAGGATACTGAGTTTTAAGCGACAGGCAGGTGGACTGACAAACAGAAGGCCAGAAGGCAAACTCAGGTACTCACCTGAATAAAACATTTATAGAAGCAAATTCTTAGACCAAAGAGGAGGTAACTCTAAAATTAAAGATGCTAGGGTTATGAACCATGTCATATATAATTTGAATGATTACAAAGAACAATTATCTTAAATCTAAAGTAGATAACATTTATAGTAGCAAAGAAGAAAAATAATACAAAATGGAGATAATTTTCTCAAGACCCAGGCACTAGATTTATACACCTCTTATATTATTATGATGCAGGTGTTGATAAATGAACATACATTTAAAATTTGAAGTAAATCCCTGGAGAAATAAGATAGTAATAAAATAAATAAAGAAAATTCTAAGTGTAAGTGGGGGATTATTCTGGAAATATTGTTGCTAGATTTTCTACTTGTCATATTACTATGATGTGTTTGTTTTAAGAAATAAAGAGTAGAAACTAGTAAGAGTAAAAAATTCTAGAACAAAAATTGATGTTCAAGCAGGATATAATTCCGGAAATAGACAAGCTAGAGTTGAATCTTCTCACACATATTACTTGAGTTATGATAAGAAACATATATTTGAAGTTTAAAGAAATAAAGAAGCTATAGAAAAAAACAAAACATTTTTTCATGAAAAGTTCAAGGGGGGTAATTCTGATAATTTTGGTGCTAGAGTTATGAACCTTGCCACATAATTATGTGAGTACTGATAAGGAAGTTTAAAACAGATTCCTTAAAGAAGTTGCGTAAGAAATTAAACTTTTTAAAGAAAATTCCAAGTTCAAAAGAGATCATTCTGGAAATATTGCTTCTAGAGAGTTCCGAATCTTATCATCAAAGATGTGGTTGATGATTGGGAACATACATTTGAAGATTGAAGTTGATACCTTTAGAAATAAGGAAGTTATAAGAACAAATATTTTACTCCACAAAACTTTAATCTGAAATCTAAATGCTGGTATAAGGACAAAATAACAGCTTCACTTCAACTCACCTTTGACAATTTTATCACAGTTGGAATTCCAGCCTGCCTGTACATCTGTCTTTTTTGATCCCATGATTTTACTAATTTTTTCCCCCTCTTACAAATGTCAGTCAGGGATCAAATGTTAAACTCATTAACAAATGTTTCTTCTGTTTCTTTAGGGATTCTTATTTCACCCTATTCTGCTTTTCTAATAATTTTGGATGGTAAAGTCTCAATGTGACACTTGTAAAAGAGTCAATTCAATTTTTTTTAATTCATAATTAACCCTTAACCCTGTTGAATTTAAGATGTTTTAAACCTGTTTGTGTATAGAATATGTTCAGATTAGCCTGGCTCAATACTTATAGCAAAATCTGCTGTATGTCACTATCATTGCTAGATCTCAGAGTGCTAATACAAACAATTTTCTCTATCAAATTTGTATACAAACACACACTATAACCTTTGCCATGGTTTATATAACTGGTTAACTGGTTAACAAACTCTCATAATAAACTTTGACAGTTTATTTGACTGGTTTATTAACTCACATAATACATTTTGCCATGATCTTTTTTGACTGGTTTACAAACTGTCATAATAAACATTGACAAAGTTTATTTGACTGGTTTATTAACTCACATAATAAATTTTGCCATGATCTTTTTTGACTGGTTTACAAACTCTCATATATTAAACAGTCTATTTGACTGGTTTACTTACTCATATAATAACCTAAATGAAAATGTCTGCTGATAAACTACATTTTTCAGATAAAATTCATTTTTGTTAACAGTTAACATTTTAAAAATTGCTTATAACTAGAATCTTAGCTTAAAAACAAATTATCATGTTAACTGTAACAAAAACATGATGCTAGACACAACTGAAAGCAACATTAGCATAAATCAAGTTATGATTATAATAAGTTACTACAATGCTGCACTTTGTATGTTTGCATCTATCTTTGATATAACTAATTTTATCTGATCATGTTTTCATATTCAGTCACGCCAATACTGTAAATTATATGATGACTTTCAAGCTTTAATGGTAGAGGAAGACCTCATATGCCCCTTTGTGCATTACTTCAGGCACAAGTGGGCACCTGAGTTAAACCACCATCCTACCTTCTATAAACTAGCTAGATAAATGTAGCTCCCTCACATGAAAGAGATCTAAAGACCCTGATCGGTGTCAAACCCACAGCGGTGAGGAGCAAAATGCTTTAAGTCAGCAACCTTAACTACTGGATCACGGAGCTCTTTTCCAATCTAAAACTATACATAACTCTTCTTTTTAAGCATAAACAGAAATAATTTTCAAAAATGAAACCTAACTGTTTATATGCTAATTGTAGCATATGTTTTACCAGTTAGCAAAATAAAAGCCAAAGCTCAGATAACTGTGTTAACATATGATGCATATAGCAAATCAAAACAACACCATTTAAAAACTACCATTCACAACATCTGATTTGTAACACTGCTCCACTGACTCTGAAAATTATTGATAATTCTCAGATGCCTGTTGGAGCAAGTAGTCCTACCAGATATATACCTTTCTTGTTGCTTCTCCAACAGTTTTCAATTTCACACTTACCTACAAATAAGAAAAAGAAAATAATTGTGAACATTTATCAAATGACATTATACAACATTTAATAATGAACATGTTATTTTTACTAAAGTTCAGAAATAACCAAAGTACCACTATGTACATTATCTAATATACATGCTGACAACTTGGTAATCTGACTGACCATCATATCAACATTTCACATGTACGCCAAATTGTACCAAATTGTACTCTTAATATTTCGCAAAGACTTTTTCATATTCTCATCACAGTATGTTAAAGTTTTTATCAAAATAAACGTGTTTTGTTAGCCTGTTGATTACATAATCAGCTTGACACTTGACTTGGCCAAATTGTTGCCAGGGTCTTTCAAATAGAATGGTCTGAAAACACGCTATATAAACCCTTCTCGCTACAAATTAACATGTCTCAGTATAACTTGCTGTAGTTTGCTATACCCAAATTATGTAAGTGCTCAAAAAAAAGTACGAAAATTAAATACAGGAGCAAAAATGAAAGGAAGTGGCTAGCCATACGGGCTCGCACGGCTAGCCAAAAGTTCTAGCTGTGCCTGACAGTCATGTACAACTAGCCAGGACACACTGTATAATGTCTATCTGTGCTGCACTTTTCAAAATTATATTAAAGCCGAAAATATTTAATGTCTTTAAACGAGGATATTAACTAAGTATATTTTGTCTTCTGTGTTCACTTAAATAAAGAAGCTCCACCATTTTGCCCAAAAAAAAATAAATACAAAGGTAAAGCAAGCGTTGTAATCTTCATAAAAAGTGTCATAGTTGCATGACATTTATACAAAGTATATGTGTATGCAAAATTATATTTATGATTAAGCAATAAATAGTGATGTTATAAGTTATAATGTTGTTTTTCATACTTATTATTTGTTGTTTTATTTGTATGAAAGATTAATTATTACATTATTTTTGTTATTAATTAGGCACATAGAATAAAAACTGTTACTCAACTGCAATCAAACACTGTTTTTTCTCGCCATCTGGAGATGACAAAGATAGATATTCGTACTTTCTTTACCTTAGCCAACATGGTGATAAATCTCTAAAAAGCTAACATACGAAGAAAAAATTTTGCTGTTTCTCCTCCCTTCAAGTCATAAAATAACAAACATGCATTTTCGACTTTCAAATTTAATTTTGAAAAGTGCAGTACAGCAAGCCAATACAGTGTGTCCTATCTAGCTGTACGTGACTCACATATGGCTAGAATTTTTGGCTAGCTGTATGGGCCCGTCCGATTAGCAACTTCCAAAATGAAAATTCTAACATTATGTTCTTTTAAAGTAAGATCTTTAAACTTGCGTAAAAATAATATTGCTGAAAATATTTGGTTTTAAAACCATGATCTGTTGAAAAAAATACATTGCTTGTTAAGTATATTTGCTGACAAATGACACCATTTTGAAAATACACTTAATTAAACATGGCATCTTTCAACACATCAAGTCAAGTCAAGTAAATTTTATTTATAAGTCGGATACATCAACAATAGACATAAGCTCTGATGAGCTTTTTACACCGACTACATGATTTCAACTTTTTAGAATTATAAAATAGGAATAAATTTATAAAAAAAATGGTATAGCTGTACTGTACAGGGCTCAAATTTAACACTTGCAAACTCGCAAAATACTAGTTGAAAAATGATTTTGCGAGTTAGATTTATGACTATTTGCAATTTTTTGCGAGTTGAAGAAAAAAAGGAATACCCTCATTAAGAAAATCCGAAATATAAATGGGGTGTAATATTCGCAGGTAGCCGAGTTATAAACCACTATGCGCGCACTTGCTGTCTGGTTTACATTATCTATACCTTAACCTCGCTTAAAAAAGTACACAAATTTAAACCAGTCCAAATGTCATTTTGTCCGTGTAAATCAAGCGTGATCGGAATAAAATGTCTAAACGAAAAATAACGAACTTCTTCCCACTTACTGAAGCAAATGTGTCTTCCGATAACAATACTCTGAGTACAGAAGATGATTCACAGTCTATCAGAAGAAAGACAATCAGACCTTCAGTTAAAACGGTTAAAAATTGGGAGAAAAAACTGCATGTCAGTCTTACGTACGAACACGATGACGGTGGAAATGTTGCCAAAATATTTTGCCCCGATTGTTGTGCGCATAATCCAGACCAGACATCGTTGGTATGGCGACAATATTGCATTATTATTTTTTTACATGTAGAATGACATTTGATAAGAATCCCTGTCCCCTAAATCAAGTTTTTGAGTAGAAAGTTACGTTGCTGATTCGTACCCCGGGCAGTTCGAACTCGTCCAAATAAATAACAATTTTAATTTTGTTATTCTCTATATGATGAGTATATCTAGCAACAGCTTTGTCTTTCAGCACATCAAATATGATTTACAGATTAAACTTAGAATTGAAGTGTTATAATTTTTTTCATGCCCAATTTCATGATTAAGTCAGCTGTCACAAAATATGTTTAAACCTTTTACAATTTTAATTTTGTTATTCTCTATATCCAGCAACAACTTTGTCTTTCTTTTGAACTAAATACTGTAAATTTATGTGTTGCACTACAACATTTATTAATAAAAACATTTTCAATAAAATTCATAATTATGATACATAATTGTCACAACAATGAATTAATTATTATGGTACATGATAATTTAAACAATTAATGAATGTCAGTGATTTTTTTTCCAATTTTCAAAACAACCTGTGGCTTTCTGAAGGGGAAAATATAGCGCGATAAATCAGAAAAGGGGGAAATCAAATTCCAACAACTGAGAGTGGAATTTACCCACACATTTTATAAAATTTTTAATTTCAATTCAATTTATCATGCATGGTACATAGCAGAGGCTATAGGGATTCTAGCTGATATAATAAGTCAGATGCTGTTAAGTAATGGTTCTGGTGAAGTGCACAGGGCATTACAGGGGAAAATATTAGCTTTTTTAGGGGAAAATATACCTATTTTTAGCTAGGGGAAACAGCCTTTATTCGGCTGTAAAATACAGGGGAACAAATCACTGAATGAACCCAAAAGTTTAAACAATTTTGGTATTAAAAATTCATTGTCGTAAAAATGCTAGTTGAATTCAGTTTTTGCTAGTTAAAAATTTGTCCACTAGCAAAAAATTGCTAGTGGCCAAAAAAGTCAGATATACTAAAACCCGTGACACCTGTGACGTCCGTGACAGCATCATCACGGAGAATATAATTTACTGTCACGGGTTATGTCACGGGTTTTGTTATTTTGTTAAGTTAGATTATTTATTTAAATATAAGTTACTAAAGATTTTATTTGATTTTATGAATGATTATTTTAGTTTTATCTTTTAATTTACATTACTATCACGTTGCGATCACAACTTTATATTACAATAACGTCACGTGATTGACTTAGTAACGACGTCAGTTAAGATGGTAGAAACATAGAATTAAATGTCATTGAGTGCAGATCAAATTCTACGTCTTATGCGGTCCGAACCGCCGATATCGGAGCTTCCTTTTAGACCAAGAGGTGGCGAAACGTGGATTTTAAAAGGGGACGGTCTTAAAGCACAGGATTGGCGAGCTGACAGACATCGTTGGATAAACCAAGGTACTGTGGGTCTTCCACGCAAAAATCCGCGGTTAAAGAAAAAATATTTTTATATTCATACCGAGAATGGGGCATAGAAAGAATTTGTTAAATTTGTTTACCATGAACCTGAATGCATTAACGGTCCTTTTGTTTTTCAGTACATCGTCAATGAACAAATCTCACAGCTGATGTCCCATGGTAATTAAAAAAACCAGGAACGCCCTTTTTTAAGATCAAAGCCAAGCAGTCTAGAAAAATGGCTAAATAAAACAAAATCGGAGGATCCGAATTTAGTTTATAAGAAAGAAATTCATGACAACGACGAACAGCCAAGGGACTTAAAACAAATCCAAAATCTGCGACATAAAGGAAACACAGAACTTAGAATATCTCGTGATGCCTTATACAATCTGCATGCTTTAGCTAGAGACACAAGCAATCAGTTTATTCAGGTAATCAATACTTTCCCAAATTTAGTTGTTATATGCCGACATAAACTTATGTTCGATGAACTGGAAAGAGTTCTTTACCTTGACAATGAAAGTCAGTGCCTCAGCTATGACACAAATTTTCAACTTGGGGATTTCTACGTATCTACGCTGATATTTAGACACATTCTTTTTAAGGAAATGCCATGCATGCCAGCAATATTTATGCTGCATCAGAGCACAAATTCCAAAAACACCACGAATTATTGTTCAATTTTTTCAAAGAAAATGTAAGACTTCCAAAAACGCTGTTTCCTTGTGTCACAGACGGTGAACAGGGGATCATGAATGCTATGTCTTGTGTTCCAACACTTGTTGATGTGAGATGTTGGAACCACATATTAAATGATATTGGAAGATGGCTGACTGAACATGGATTTTCCAACTCAGAAGTTCTAGCATATAAGGATCATATTCGATTTATATTTGGAACAGATTCCAGAGATGACGGTATGGCTGCATTTGCCGAATTAAATACAGCCTGGGATGAACAATTTCCAAAGTATTTTGAAGAAAGAATATTACCTCAACTTGGGAAGGTTTCAAAATGGGCAATAGAAAAAATTACAAAGTATGACCCATACAGTGGCATAACTCAAAATCAGAGCGAAAGTATGAACAAAGTATTTAAACAACTCAATAAATGGAAAGAAGCCCCAGCAGATGTGGTAGTATTGTCATTTCTACGTCTTCATCAATATTATCTTAAAGAAATTTCTCGTGGTCGCGCAGGCATTGGTATGTACACTTTAAAAACTAAATACATTTCAGCTAAAATTGATCTCTCAGAAATTATCCAATTTATAGTTTTCACAACCAGAAGATATTGTAAATGGCATTCGTGAAAACCAATTTGTCTCTAATGCAGAAAATGACGCACATCCAGAACCAAATATCCCAAAGATTGATATTAACTTCTCACGCGCCGATGAACTTATGAAAAATGATAGAATCGTTTTCGCTCCAAGGCTAGGTACATTTACGATATTAGGACAAGATGACAAGGCTCGGGTTGTAACACTATTCCCCGAGTCATGTTCGTGTGGAAACACGCATTGCTATCATTTAATAGCTGTTAAGAAATCTATAGGTATGGAAGTGAACTTGAAAACAAAACCCAACCTAACAACACTAAGAGGTTTAGATGCAAAGAAAAAAGCAGGAAGAAAACGACCTAGACAAGATGATTTTGATTACATAATTTCCCCTGATAAAAATTCACGGAGAATTGAAAAACCCTTGACAATACAGCCATCGCGGAAATTACAGTCACCCGTGACCGATGAAGTCGAAAAACCTGTGATGATTCAGTCGTCACGGAAATTAGATTCACCCGTGACAGTACCAACTCGGGACTATGAGGAAAAATCCGTGATGACTCAGCCGCCGGAAGAACCATCGTATACTATATATATTGAACAGGATATTGAACCAGGAGAGCCAGTACAGTCCAACACATCGGTAAGTGGACCAGAATGGCTAGATATTGGGCAGATTAAACTTAAGGACAAAGAAAAAAGTATCCTGTATTCACCAACAGAGTGGTTAAATGATCGGTTGATTGATGCGGCGATGTCTCTTCTAAAGACACAGTTCCCACATATATGGGGGCTGGACAGTTGCCTAAATGCAGCAACTCTAACGTTTACTCGTGCTTTTGGAAATTTCATTCAGATGACGTAGAACTGCTTCGTGGTCACCTGATTCAATGTTTGGAAAAGGGTAAGCTTGTGCCATTTCCCACTGGCACCCGGTAGCTCGAGCACCCGAATGGTGTCAGATACACGGCATTTCTTAAGGTGTTTTGTTCTTGCCGAATGCCAGAAGATGGTTTGTATGTTGTTTGCAATAAATGCAAAATATGGTACCATCCAGAATGTGAGGGTCTACAAAAAGATGACATTCCTGGTACAAAATGTACACACCCCCAAAAGAGAAACATATGACGAAAAAAACGCATGTAATGTACAATTTGTATAATATATACTTTAAAACTTTAGTTTAAATTTAAAATAAATTTAATACTGTTCTTTATCGTCACTTGTTTTACTCATTTCCCTTAATTTATCACATGTCATAATGTTATGTTTTCATTAAATGAAGAAAAAAAAGAAAAAAAGAATCATTATCATTAGGATTAGTTGCATCGTCACGGGTTTTAGCTACCCTTCATGACAGACGAATAATTTGTAAATGTATCTGATTCTCAGTTTATATTCCGATATAATGATATAAATTTTGCGGTCCAGTTGAAACAATTAAGTTAACAAAAAGTTATAATTTGTAAATTTATGTATCTGATTCTCAGTTTATATTCCGATATAATGATATAAATTTTGCAGTCCAGTTGAATATAGTTATAGGCAAAGTGTACAGTTTGTCACGGTATTTAGTGCGTTGCATTATATATCACAGTAAATTTAGTGTGTCACAGATTTTAGGTACATGTCACGGATTTATGTCGTCATGGAATTAGATATTGTCACGGGTTTAAGGTGATCCCCAAAAAAGTTAAATTCGAGCCCTGATGTACATATAATTCAATAACTGAAATGACACCTTATGCTACAACAAAAGTGATTTGTTTATGAAACACATCCTTATTTTTTCCCCAGACCTTTAATTTACCCTTGTATGAAATATCATCCGAAATTTCTGGCCTATCCGAAATTAAAGAATTAGTAAAATTAGAAACTATCAGATTTAACGCATCAGAAGTTCTCCACAGTGAACCTCAAATAAGCATAACCTTAATTCCGTTTTGTTACATCAAAAAATGTACATATGCTGCTGAATATGTCACAATAATCTTGATATTCTTGATTTTATATCGTTCTTTTTTTGTTACGTGTTGTTGTTGTTGTCGGCGTCTCTAAAGCGGTACCACTAAAATACGCAACGGAAATTTTTTGGCGCAACGGGTGCAACATTTTAAAACATACTTACTTTATAGTGCTAAACAATCATTTTAGATGCTCAAATATAGCATATTGACTTTTTTTTAAAAAAGGGCGTTGTGCCTGTTTTTCTAAAAAAAATATCTCCGTTGCGCCATTAAATTTCCATTTTGCCAGGCATATAACCCTTTGAACAATGCAATTAAATATATACAATTTATGAAACATTTTAAAACATACTTACTTAATAGTGCTAAACAATCATTTTAGATGTTTAAATATAGTACATTGACTTTAAAAAAGGCGTTGTGCCGGTTTTTCTAAAAAAAATATCTCCGTTGCGTATTTTAGTGGTACCCTCTCTAAAGTAGAATAGAATACCACCCACAACATACTCTTTATTGATATTCAGCATGGATTCAGAGAAAGACGATCATTTGAGACACAACTCATTGAACTAACTGATTACCTTGTTGACAATCTTTCAAATGGCAAACAAACAGATCTCATACTTCTTGACTTCTCCAAAGCTTTCGATAAAGTAAACCATCTTAAACTCTTAGATACCCTTCAAGAACATGGTGTTTGTCCTCAAATTCTAAACTGGATACAGTCCTTCCTTATTGGCCGTAGACAGACAGTAGTTGTGGATAGTGACTGCTCATCTGAAGTTCCAGTTACGTCTGGTGTGCCCCAAGGCTCTGTCCTAGGGCCCCTTTGTTTCCTTCTATATCAACAAGCTACTATCTTCTGTCCTTAAATCCCAAGTCAGATTATTTGCAGACGACACTGCTGTATACCTAACCATTAATTCCTCCTCAGACCCCCAACTCTCCAACATGATCTAGACAATATGGTTCTGTGGGAGAAGCAGTGGGACATGGAGTTTAACCCTTCAAAATGCCAAGTCATTCATATTACCAAAAATAAAACCATAATTAAACACAAATATATGCTCCATGGCCAAGTCTTAGAGTCTGTTACAAATGCTAAATATCTCGGACTAGATCTATCTGCTGACCTTAAATTTAATACACATATATCTCGAATAACTTCCAGTGCAAACATATCCCTTGGCTTTAAAAATATTAAAAGAAATGTTATTACTAAAAATGAGAAAGTGAAAGAACTAGCATACAAGTCCCTGGTCCGGCCACAGGTTGAATATGCCTCAACTATCTGGTCTCCTTACACTAAACCCAATATTGACAAAGTTAAGATGATCCAGAGACGTGCAATAAGATGGGTTAAAAGGGATTACTCCCCTCACTCTAGTGTCACAGCTATGCGTGAAGAACTGGGCTGGCGATCCCTTGAACATCGCAGATTGGACTGTAGACTGATAATGTTTTATAAGATATACCATAACCTAGTTGCAATTAATCTCCCAACATATGTTCAAACCCCACATAGATTAACCAGACATATGCACGCCTTATCCCTACGCCAAATACAGGTATCTTCCGACTATCATAAGTACTCTTTCTTCCCTCATAGCATTATACATTGTACTATGGAATAAACTTCCTAGTAACATTGTCACCCTGCCCAACTTGAGTCAGTTCAAACAGGCAGTGGTGGGTTTGCAGTACTAGTCTTACTCCCAGTGTTTTTAAACTATTTTATCTCTTATCATCTTGTTTCACTATTAACATTTTAACCATGACTAGAATACATTTTCAGTCTCACCTTCCAAGCATGTCAATGTTTGGACTTTTCTTTTTTTTTAGCTTTTCTTTTCACCTAGCTTTTACTAACAATCCGGCGTGCACTAAATTCCTGCCTTTAACACTCGTAAGAGGGGTTGGCAGTATCCAGAGATAGATAGATAGAATAGAATAGAATATAATAGAATAATTTTATTTCACCAATCAAGGGTCATACTATATGACATATATAATCACAAGCATAAAGCATATGGCATGTAACAAAATATATCAACCAACAAATTGTGTATTGTATGGTAGAAATGAAGACAATAAAATAACTAAAGCTTAATTCGTATTATTGGAAAAACAAATAACACTGGCATAGTAATATCAAAATAAGAATTAAATAAATAAAACAGTATTAAAAAAAAAATAAACACTAATTAGTAATTACTCATTCGATATTCAAGTACAATAATATACATTCAATGGTCTGACAAATTTTTATTACTACTAGTACTACCTAACATAAGATTTCTTTTATTATAAATTTCGAGTCGGTATTTCGAAAAGACATTCAAGACTCTAGGGTCTTCCGAGGACATTAACCAAACAAATTTCTGCTTATTATTCAACATACAAAAGTTCTTATTTAATATTTCAATTTGTCTAAATAGTAGTTCTCTATTACTATCGAATTTTGTACAACACCTCTCTAAAGTATTAACGAATAAATAGAAATGATTTAATCGGCACAGTCCTTTCGGATGTCTTGCAAAGTGCACTTTTTTTAATCTGTCATTATTTAACATAATTTTAATTTTAAAACAGATTTAAGACAATTAAATGCGGGGGGGGGGGGGTGCTAGTGGAATTATGCGTATTTATATGCGGCAGTCACTTTTTATAACAGTGTATAAAAAGCTATATCTGCTTCAAAAATAATACTTCCAGAATGTTTGTATAAAAAACATGGTAGATAATAGCTTTTTAAAAATTATTATTATTATTATTATATACCACATTTCTATAGCACTCTTTTCATAAATAATAAATGTTCAAGAGTGCTTTACATAAATCCGATAAAACATAATCATATATATATAAGACATAATGTTCAACATAAATTAAGTAAACCTATTAAACAAAAATGATAATCTAAAACCAGAAAAGGATGGTAAGAAATACAGACACATTTAGTTTAAAATCAAGGCACAATTAAAATTAACACTGATAATATAGCAAAAGTAGTACATGATTTATGAACTAACGTCCATAGAACTTTATGAAATAATGTGTTTTGAGAGCTCTCTTAAAACATGGCAAGGTATTACAGTCTCTAATGTCAGGTGGTAACGCGTTCCATAATTTCGCTGCGGCTGTCTGGAAGCACCTGTCACCATATCGTACTGTCCGAGATTTAGGCACAACTAATGTCATTGAGTTATTCTGGGACCTCAGATTTCTGACTGGGATGTACACGTCTATCATGTCTTTTATATAGGCTGGTGATTGATCGATGAGGGATTTATATGTATAAGTCAAAATTTTATATTCGACCCGATACTCTACCGGAAGCCAGTGAAGTTCACGTAAGATAGGTGTTATGTGGTCATATTTGAGTGTTTTGGTCACAATTCTAGCTGCTGTATTTTGAACATGTTGTAACTTGGTCATTGACTGCTTAGAGACTCCATATAACAGTGCATTACAGTAGTCTAACCTAGAAGTAACAAGTGAATTTACTAGAAATTTGGTTGCTTTAACAGTAAGATAGGGTCTGATGTGACCGATTTGTCTTAATTGTGCATAACAGTTCCTACATACATTATTTACATGTTGTTCCATCCTCATGTTCGAGTCAAGAAATGCACCAAGATTGCGCACACTAGATGATTGGCTTATTTTCGAACCGTCGACTGTTCCTGTAACATCTGAAACAGGTTGTGCGTTATGTTCAGATGATCAACTCTGTTTTATCGCCGTTTAGCTTCAGCATGTTGGCATTCATCCAACTTACAATATCTTCAAGACATCTTTCAATACGGTTTATATTCTCTTGAATTGAAATATTAGTCACTGGTTTGAAGGATAGATAGAGTTGTGAGTCATCTGCGAAGAAATGGTTGTTTAGATTATGTTTACGGCAGATTTCTCCGACAGGTTTCGTATACATCACATAGCTCTTGGGTCCCAGGACAGACCCTTGAGGTACACTGTACTCTATGTGGACCGGCTGTGATAGTTTGTTGTTTATGCATACAGTCTGGTATCGGTCGGTCAGGTATGACGTCATCCATGCGAGTGGCTTGCCTGTAATTCCAAAGTGTCGTTCAAGGCGGCGAAGGAGCGTTTCGTGATCAATTGTATCAAAAGCAGCAGACAAATCAAGCATCACAAGAATAGTCACATTGTTATTATCCAAAGACCGTAGAATGTCATTTTGAACTTTAAACAATGCAGTCTCGGGCGAATGGAACTTGCGATAAGCAGATTGGTTGACCTCGTGTAGATTATTTGTCTTCAGATGGCTCTCAAGTCGTACGTCAACGACCTTTTCCAAGATTTTAGACAGGAATGGCAAGTTAGACACAGGCCTATAGTTTTTCAGTTCGTTAGGATCTAAATTTGGTTTCTTTAGAAGTGGTCTTATTCGTGAGTGTTTGAACATTTTTGGTACATAAGCAGCATCCAAGGACACGTTTATAAAACTGGTTATCATTGGTGTTAGTTCATATAGGCATTCTTTTAACCAACCATGTTGGAATGGGATCTAACTCACAGGATTTGGTGGCTGATTTTTTAATCAATGCTTTCACTTCTTGCTCTGTGGTTGGAGCAAACACAGTATATTTGACACCCGTATATTCAGATTCCATATCTACATTATCCGGTACCGATTGTGTTTGAGAACGTATGTTATTCCTTATTGTTTCAATCTTTCCGATAAAGAAGTCACTGAATTTTTGGGCAAGGCGCTCTGAAGATGAATCAAATGGTAGAATCACTTCATTTGTATCTCCAAGTAGACCTTTGGTAATCTTAGATAGACTTTTATGATCATTGCCACAAGACTATATTTTACTTGTATAGTATTCTACACGAGCTTGTTTTAACATCTTGTTCACACTAGAACAGTGTGTTCTGTAGATCTGATGGTCTATTGTAAGTTTAGTTTCACGCCATTTCCGTTCCAGTTTACGTTCTTCATGTTTGGCTTCGTGGAGTTGCTCTGTATACCACGGACAAGCAGGTCTCAATGTAATAGTCTTGTTAATGATCGGAGCATGTTTATCCAAAATAGAGGTTAGACTGTCTGAATAC